GTATAAAAATACAACTGCGTGAAACACACAGGCGTATCAAAGTGCAACTGCGTGAAACAGACAGGTGTATAAAAATACAACTGCGTGAAACAAACATTAGTATGAAACTTCAACTGCGTGAAATACACAGCAGTATGAAAATTCGGCTGCGTGAAACACACAAACTTCACGCATGCGTGGAGTGTATGGAGTGTACGGGAGTGATTCACGCAATGGTGCGAATAGTCACGGCCATTTGATTTCTTTCTAGCCAAAAGTCTGCCAACTCCATAAATTCGTTGGTTTACTCAAAAATCAAAATTATTCTCATGACTAAATACGTTGTTATCTCAATCAACACGATCATACGTTGTTCCAAGTAAATTATAATTGAAGTTAGCACTTCGTATGTCGATTCAGGATGAATATTGTTACGCGGAAAAAGCTTTGAGATTGTAGTGAGACGTCGTTTTCAGGTTGCTGCAATCATTTTATGTGGAGATTTCAACTCCGATATCTATAGAAATGAATCTCTATGGAATTTCATGAAAGAAGAATTCAATTTAGAGTGTTGTCAAACTCCCCCAACAACTCTAGGCAATACTCATCTCGATTTAACTTTCACACGTAGTTTAAATATCGAATTATTTCGTGATGTATCATACTTCTCCTATCATCGACCTATACTCAATAAACTCAGTTTGAAACATTAATTCGTATCGTTTTTCCAATTTCCCAAGCATCTACGCAACATTGACGTATTCACGCAAAACTTACAGCTGTATCAGCGATACAGCCAACCAGGAATTTTTATTTATTTAATTAACGCATGCGAACGGAGGGATGGCGGTGGCTCAGATAGACTCTGCAACCCCCTCCCCTTGTTGGATAAAATTTTCAGCCCTCCTCTATTATGCATCCCCCCTCCACCCCCTCTCGAAGTCCCAATTTTCGAGATTTTTTTTTAAACTTGATTTTAAACTCAATTCAGTAGCGAAGTGGTAAAACGGTACCAGTCAATTTTGACTATTGGCCAGTTTTCAATGAATATCTCGAAATCTAAGGGAGATAGCAAAATTGTTATTATAACCTTTTTTGTAGAGTCGATTGAGTGCTACAACAAATGTAGCTACGAACATTTCACTATCACCCTCAGATTCGGAAATATTCCTCAAAAACTCAACTGAGAGATAAGCCGACTTAAACCGCTTTACCACTTCGCCACTGAATTAACATAATTATTTTAAATTGAAGTTTAAAAATCAAAGTAAAATAAATCAACTGATGTTATTAATGAATGCATCAACATCACCAATTCATTTTAAAATAAATTAAAACGTAACTTTTTCGTATAATTACATGTTGATGCACGAAATATACCTTAACCCAGTTGAAAAGTGAAAAGACCCAGGGACGTGTGACGTCGTTACGTCGTTTTCCCTCGTCTATCCTTTCATTACACCTCAGTGTTGTCGTAAAGGGTGTCAGATACACTGGGGTTCTATCCCATTGCCCCAGTATATCCCCTCTGAATCTTATGAAACGAGAGGATCTCCCCAGAAAACGTGAAAAAAACCTCCACCAGATATAATAACAGTGTAAAGAACATGAGAATGAAATGAAAAGGGTAAAAGCTCCTGGAGAGCACACACTTGGCTGAATGGCTCGTGAAGTCTTTTTGAGAATTTTTTTTTAATGCAATGAGAGACTGTTTAACGCTTTAAACTCTATCTGCTTGTTCTCCCAAAGTGTTTCTTCCATTGCTTGAAGATTGCAATTGCATTCAGGACATTAACTACACCTGAGTCGATTTATCCCGGTGTTGAGTGCAATTTTATCGTTCTTTTGTTTCAGACGATGAGAATTCCAAGGTACAGGGTATCATCACTGAGAACGGCTTGTTTGATGGCACGGTTATTACTGCTGCTGATGAAATTTACATTGAACCTGCAACGAGGTATGCTAGACTTGTGAGGCGAAATGCAGATGTCAGTTATCACACTATTGGATATCGAGCTAATGACATTGCAACGCCAGTGGCTGCTCGAATGATACGTCAATATGGAACTGGTGGTCTCATTGAGGATGTATCATTCAATCAGACGCATACGTAAGTACAACAATATTTACATCAATTACATAATTCAGCAGCGAAGGGGTGGAACGGTTCTACTCGATTTTGGCTATTGGCCAGTTATCACTGAATATCTAGAAATCTAAGGGAGATAGCGACATTTTTGTCAAGAACTTTTTTGTAGCCCTCAACTCGTTCTACAAAAAAGGTAATTACAAAAATTTTGTTATCTCCCTTAGATCCGGAGATATTCCACGAAAACTCAACCAAGTCGAAACGGTTATACCACTTCGCTCTTGAATTACTTTAATTAATTTGAATTCATTTATTTATTTTATTCGAATTCTGCTTGTGTTTTAATTCACGTCAAGTGAATTGTTTTTTTACGTTCATTCTCCCCTTGAAATAAATAATTAGAAAGGTATTGCTGGAATTCACTGAAAAAAATTGAAATGAAAAATTTTGCGCGTCACATTTTACTGATAATTTCGTTAATCAACGAATCATTCGATTTCCCTGTCAGTACAATGCACCCCGTCCACCCACTCAGGATGCATTTACAAGTGGCAGGACACACTACAATTTCCACCGATAATATTAGCATAAACATGGGCCTACTGCAGCTGAAACTTCACGTCGATTAATTACAGATACATGTACTACCCGTAATGAACCGTGAGTGGGCGTGGAGTATTACCCAAATAAAATAATCCCTTCAGCATTTAGTTTCCAAGTTACTGGGATAAACCAGCCGAATGCACGAAAACACGTATGTTTACAGATTAAATCCCCCAAGGCAGACACTCGACAGAGCATCCACTAAAGAATTCTATTTGAGAGATAAAACTATAAACCGATCGAATAGCATTTACGGCGACGAGACTGACAAGTATGTGATGGGATTACTCACAAAATATATGATGAAATTACTGCACGAAGCATCCGATAATACGCTAAAATTCTCTCTATTTTTTTCCGTTAAAGTAAAACAAACAAAAATGTATTTTTTTAATTAAAAACAAATATGAAAACATTTGATTTCACTGGTTAAATGAATGAATGAATAAATACACCCAGAAAAATTATTCATTTGAATGAATGAAGTGAAGTTTTTTTCAAATGAAATGAAAAATTGTAGTCAAAATTTTGTTTATATTAAATAAATGTTGGTTCACTATTAATGAATTTTTATTTGATCCAAATAAATTCTTTATTTATACGAAGTAAACGGTTTTTTATGTGAAGAAAATTCCTTTATTTAAATCAACTAAGTTTTTTCTTTAAACTAAATAAATATTTATTCATACTTCAAATTTATTATCGCTTTGAGTTGAGTTGAAACACCCAAAATGGTCAATACGACCTTTTTCCACATAGCCCACGAACATTGTTGAAACACACTTTCGAAATTCTTCAAAAAAAAAGAAAATGTGATATTCTTAAAATAAGAAAACTGTTTATTCGAACTAAATAAATTGTCTGTTTAATATAAGTAAATCCTTTTTATTGAAATGCGTAAAAAATGTCAAATTAAGATTTTTATTTGATTAAAAAAATTTTTTTTCTGGGTGTATGTTTGAAAATAAAAAAAATAATAATTTCAGGGATCGATTGGGACGCGTCCTACGAAACCGGAAATCAGTTGACCCAAAAAAAACAACGTGCATGTTGTATCTGCAGGCAGATCACACGTTCCTCGATCACTATAAATCGGAGGAGGCTTGCATCGAGGTCATGACCCGTCACGTTCAACGAGTCAATTCGATATACCGTTACACAGGTGATCTCTTTTTAAATATCAGTGCATCATCACTCGATTAAATGCACATCAGTGATTTTACCTCATCACGTTATCACTTTTTTTCTCCCCCTCCCCCCCCCCCCCCCCCCCTCCCCGCCCACCCATTTGAATACAAATCACCCCTTCGTGTCTTATCAGGCGAGCACAAGTGATTCTCGTTCGAATATCGTTCATCGTGCGATACCTGTTATCGTCACGTACCAGTAATTAACACGTAATTTATTCCCCCAATGAGTCTATGAATTTTAAACAGCTTGTGATCATTGATTAATTGAAGAATGAATTTTCCCTTTTGCTTTTACAATTAGCATTGTAATTGTTCAGATTTAAGCTTTGGATTTTTCGTGTTATTTCAACTCATTATGATCCAAAAAATCCGATAATGCAATTCTTAGATCGTGTCCGTATTGTAGAGCCCTATCAGCTGCCATTAAGTGAAATTTAATTCATTTATTAATTTTTCAAATTTTTCACAAAATGTTTTTTTCACGATAACTAAAAAAACATTCTGAATTGATTGAATGATGGCTTAAAAAATTTGTTTGGATATCCTTTCGACCGAGTTCGAAGATAAAGGCGATCGCCATAATCGTTAGTTTGATTTATTTAAAAATTTGCAAAAATTGTTTTTTTTTTAATCTCAACGGCCGGGAAATCTTTGGATACACTGAGACAAATATCGTCATAATATCACAAAACTAATTTCTTGCGCCAAATATCTCATCTTTTGAGGATAAATTTCTTGGGATCAGGATTCCGGGCAATGCGTCAGACAGTGTCAAATTTCGGGGAAGTGTTCATGACTTGAACATGAACATTTTATCATAAAGTGAGAATTTCTTGCCACAAGAAATCGGTTTTTTCGTGTCAGAAGATGAGGAAATCGACTTGACCTCTTTACCGCTTCGCGACTGTATTCAATTTAATAAAATGAAATAAACAACGAATTATACATTTTAGAAGGAAATGATACTGCCAATTTATTAGCAAAAATAATTATACTTTATTCAATATAACAGCAATTTCCCACTTGTTTTTCTTGGAACAATTGCAGATTTCAATCAGGACGAACAGCCGGATAACATAAGTTTTATGATAAAGAGAATTAAAATATACGGTAACGATGCACTTGATAATCCGTCGTATCGTTTTACTGGAAAGTACGGAGTTGAGGAGTACCTCGAGCTCTTCTCAGGTGAGTTTGCAAAGAATTTTCAATTATGCTCGTGTAGTAATACCACCCGTAATTCTCACTCGAGTCCTTTGAGGGTAAATCAGGGTCTTGAATATGATTCTGCGCTTCAACTGAATTTTTGAAATCTCAGCGTTAAATCATATCGTAAAAGGAGTTGGCAAAAGGGGATAATGATGTAAATGAGTAAAGTCTTCTTTCACGCGTTTTTTCCAGTGGCAATTCACTTCCATTTGGCTATTTCCCCGTTCACTCAATTCAATTTGGGGTGGGTTTTATGCTCACTCTGAGGGGGGTTTTACCCTTTTTTTTTATACGCTCGTCTTTCTCTCCCACTGTGTCTGATACCTAGACTGGGTTTTCTATTCATCTGGTGCACGTTTTCCGGTTAATTCCAGAGGAAAATTACGACGCTTTTTGCCTGGCGTACATGTTTACTTATCGTGATTTTGAGAAGGGAACGCTGGGGCTTGCGTGGACTGGGGATCTGAAGAATGCGGGAGGAGTTTGTGAGAAGAATGGGGTGAGTTGTGGGTTTAATTCGTGATGGGGATTTAAATTTGCGGGTTTTTAACTCTTTAACTCACATGATTTGACGCTTAAGACCTCGAAAGCTTTAAATTATTTCGAGATATCCTTCGGACTTTTTCATTCCCATTTGGCTGGGGATTCATGGCGCAAAGTTTTCCACGCGGTTCAGTAATTTTTTTACTCAGGAGGCCTCGCAATAAGTCTATCCACGAGGATAAAATCATCTCAAGAGAAATGAAATCATGAAATCTGGATTTAAGGAGATCCAAGTATTTTTTACAAGTTTGGTACAGACCACTATAGATTCAACCACTTTCAATCATCAAATTTGTCAACTAAATTGGGTGAGAAAAATTTGAGGAAAATGATGAATATTCAGTGTCATCCAAAGTATATTTTTCATAAAATTATTATTTTTATAAACATTCGTTGTTTATAAATAAACGATTAAAATTGTTCAGACTTTCAGAAATCTTATTTTTTTAGACATGAAATCGATTTCTAGTGAAATTCTGAATATAATAAATTTGTTACGATTTCGAACAAATAATTTTTATAGTGGAAAATTGATTGTTCATAAATTTTTTGCAGAAAATGCTCGGAATTTTCAAAAATTACAATTTTTTAATAATATAGTCAATCTTCCTCCAAAATGTTTTCCAATTGTTCAATATTGAGATTCGAATTCAGGCCTGCTAAGTTTGAATAATAAAATCATTGTAAAATGCCTGAAAACGTAGAGTCAAATGGGGCTCAAATGAAAGTTCTGATGTTCGACTGCGAAAATAAAGAAGCATTTCACCGAAGAAAAAATAGCCAAAATACTTAGATATCCTTAAGAGACTTCGGGAGAAGTAAAACTACTAAAAAGTTTGGATTATCAATGCTCAGTTGAAAAAGGACGGAAAAACCTGAAAATCAATCTGGCAATTTGTCAATTAAATTACGTGTGAGAAATTTGAAAAAACCATGAATATTCAGCGTCATTCAAATTACATTTGCACAGAATTACTGTCTTTCTTAAACATTTGTGGTTTATAAATAAATAATTGAAATTGTTTAAACTTTCATATAAAATCATCTCAAGTCAAATAAAATCCTGAAATCATGATTTAACATGATTCAAATGACGCGAATAATCAAAATAAATCCCAGAGTAAAGGCCTTATTATCTTGCATTTGATCACAGCACTATCGAGGCAGTATGAAGTCCCTAAACACGGGCATAATAACTCTCCTGAACTACGGAAAGCACGTACCACCAGCGGTATCACACGTCACTCTTGCCCACGAAATTGGTCACAACTTCGGATCGCCGGTAAGTTTTCGCTCTAATCACTTGTTTCAATGGCCACCCCCCTCCCAAGTTAAATGAACCTCTTGGTGGACCGGACTCTTGCACGAAACTACGTGGTTTTAATTAAATTGAAATGTCCTGTGTCTGGTAATCATGCCAGCATGACCCGGACCAGTGTTCACCCGGAGGTGAGGATGGTAACTTCATAATGTTCGCACGAGCGACCAGCGGGGACAAGCGAAACAACAATCGATTCAGCCCGTGCAGTCTACTCTCCATCAATCCCGTGTTGAATATCAAGGCACGCTCCAGCAAGGGCTGCTTTGCAGGTAAATCCCATTCCTCGTGCTCACACGATCATCGATCGCTATCTCTATTTGTCCAATTACTGGTCCAATACCCCCTGTCTTTGCCATTCGAACGGTTTTCCTGTTGATTTTGTAAAGATGATGCATTCGAATCTTGTTCGTTTTTATAACTGCGTTTTATTTTTTTTACCGATACGTGAGTAAAATCTGTTATCGGTTTTTTACCGATAACAAGTGGGCAACTGCATTTTTCTATAAATGACTACAGCGAGGGACTACTCACTCCCGAAATCACGGCGCCACTCTGACATGAAATCATTCCGAAATCAGCGAAATCACTGAAATCAAGCGATTGTTTCGTTCTGTCAAATAATTCTACATTCAGACCCTCGCAAGACTCGAATCGACCTATTACCCGAATGAGATTTAGAAAGACTTTTGTGTTGTCTTTGTTTTGGTCACAAAAGAATAATTTTCGTAAGAATACTTTTCTCTAACATAATCCCATCTAATCATTTCCTATGACGTCACAAAGATGTGGAACGCTGTATAAATTCTCTTTTTTAATATACATATCAATTCCTCTTCATACAGTATTGTAATTTGAGAATTACGGAAAAAATATATATAATAAAAATAAGAACGGAGAAAATCAAATTAATCTAATTGTGAAGACGGCAATGGAACGAAAATTAAATCAAATAGAATAGTATAAAGTCTAGCGACGGGCGCGAAGCGCTCGTTGGCTGGTGGTCCATTATCGAGATTCAAATTCAGACCTGGAAAGGTGTAAATAATAAAATCATTGTAAAATGTCCGGAAACTTAGGGTCAAATGGGGCTCAAATGAAAGCTCTGATATTCGACTACAAAAGTAGAAAAGCATTTCACTGGAAAAAAAATAGCCGAAGTACTTGGATATCTGTAAAGCCTATATTCATGAAGAAATTAACGCAATTCAATTGATTCCTTATGAGAAAATTTCGATAAAATGAATAAAAAAGGCGACATTTATACAGACAGACACGATCTAAATCGCATATTCGGACCTTCTTTACCAAAAAATTGGGAACTTAAATGAGGGCGATTCCAAAGCTTCCATTCGGAAGCAAATTTACATAATAAATGTGAAATGACATAATAGGGTCTTTATTTGGATAGAAAAAAGCATAGGTTAACGCAAAAAAAAAAATCAATTTGATTCAGACAAATTAATTTCCTTAATCCTCATCGCATCGATTTTCCAGAACAACAAACCGCCATTTGTGGAAATGGAGTTGTCGAAGAGGGAGAGGAGTGTGATTGCGGTTGGGAGGAAGATTGCAATGATCCTTGTTGCCACCCTCAACGACTTCATCATGCCCCTTTCGAGATACCCTGTCGTCTAACCGAAAATGCCGTCTGCAGTCCCAGTCAGGTGAGAGCCCACTTCTACTTTGGTACTGTAAATATTTAATCAGCCTCGATTCTAGTTGAATCCCAGCCACTTGAAGTGTCTTGGTGTCTCAATACTGTGCAGTATTTAGTCGAAGTCGTTTGAAGGATTCAGTCTTAACACTCTAGTTGGCCGCAGTTTATTCTCTCCTAGTAATCGACGCAATTCCAACGAGATTACTGAATAAACACTTTGCTTTCGGTTATTAAAGGGCCCGTGCTGTTCGCCCGAATGTTCACTGCGTAATGGGGAGAAATGCAGGGATAATAACGGATGCAGAGACGCCAGTTTCTGCGATGGACTCACTCCCCAGTGTCCTCCTTCCATTAATAAACCTAATAAAACTATCTGCAATGAGGAATTTGTCTGCTATATGGGGGTACGTAGTTAAATGAAGACTTTCTTGGTTTAATGTCTCGGGATTTAGGAGAGGTACGACTATTTGTTCAGAGCAGAGTGACTTCAATTGGCAATTATATAACTTTTATTACAGAACATGTGAAATTTCAAAATTCACTGAGATTTCAATGCATTCCCAATTTTACTTGAATTCTCAATGAAATTTATTCATTGGAAAGTCAAGGATACTTCTATTTGAAATTTTCTGGTTTCAGACAATTTTCGTCGATAAATAGAAGTGAAATTTACAATTTTCATTCATTTTTTCATGAAATATTGAAATTTCAATTATGAAATTCCTCAAAATTCCAAAAAGTATAGAAAAAATTTCAGTCACAAATTTTTAAACGTACAAAAGAGAAGATGAATTCACAGACATTTCATTGGAAAAATTTCCAGGATGGCAGAGGAAGAATTTGTTTTTTTTTTACGCAACAGAAAGACAAGAATTTTCCAATTTATCGGAAATTCAAGGATCCATCTACTTTTCTGATCTTATCAATTTTCATAAAAATTAAACTGAAATTCACAGTTTTCCTTAAATTTTCCATGAAATTTGATAAATTTCAATGACGAAATTCCGTAAAATTCCAGTGAAACTATGTGCCAAAAAAATCTAAAAAATGTACCGAAAATTTCAGCCAAAAATTTAAAAACGTGAAAGAGCAAAGATGAATTCACAACCATTGGATAAATTTTCAGGAGTGCACAGGAAGCATTTGTCTTGCTTACGGCCTAGAATCTTGCCAATGCAGTGCGGGCCCGATCGATCCTCCAACCAAAAGTTGTGAATTATGCTGTAAACTACCCGGCGAGGAGCAGCCGTGCATGTAAGTATTCATCACATCTCCATCCCTATAAATCAATTCATTTCAATCTGCGTTCCATCACCTACAGATCATCCTTCGAGTGGAATTCCCCTCCCTACGAGATTCCCAACATGATGTCAAAGCCAGGCACACCCTGCAACGACTACAACGGCTATTGCGATATTTTTCAGAAATGTCGGGAGGTAAATTTCATCATTCAATAACAGAGTTTTTCCATCAGCGATATTGAATCAATTCGCTTGATACAAGGTTATTGCATTACTGTACTTCACAATATCGAAGTATTTGATTTTATTAGATTTTTTTTTAATGAATAGGTCGATCCCACGGGACCTCTGGCAACTCTCAGACGACTATTACTGTCTGATATGAGTATGGAGAGGGTTCACAGATGGATAACCGACCGGTGGTATGCTATTACCCTTGGGGTACTCGGTATCATCAGTAGCTTGGTGAGATTATCATGACGAGTCATTCAATTCTAAAGCTGATTATTTCCAATTATTTCCAAAAATCCAGTATAATTTTTTTAATGTTTTTAAATCATTCATTTTCGCTTGCTTTGTCACTATGGCTTAATAATCTCATATCAGCCCTTAAACATTTTATACATTTATAATAATATACTAAGGGGCTACGCCCCCTGCTCGATCCGCTCGCCAACCCCATATGACCCACACATAATGCCCATATGATCAGTATATTATCCTCATATGACCCATGATCCTCATTCTGACCCTTGTTACCCTTATTTCGACCCTCAATCTGACCTTTAATCTTGTGGCCCAAAAAGTGTTGACCCTGAAACCGTCACAACTAAACAAAAATTCTCCAATTTCTCCATTCCCATATTATCAATGAATCCTCACTTTTCCAGATTATCCTAACGATCTCATTCAGCAAGCCTTCAAAGTCCAACCTCCGGATGTTATACCCAACATCGGAGGATTCATCGATCCGGCATTTGCATCCCGAGCCCGAGGCTGTTCGACCCAAGTCCAAGTGGATAATTAGCACAATGAGTGCATCGAAAAGTATCTCGAGGATCAAACGCAGGCTTTTAGAAACCATGAAGAGCATTGCATCGCCGAGAAAAACCAGTGACTTGGTGGCACTGCCTGCTAATGATATCACGAGGTCCATTAAAATGTGACAATGCTATTGACACTGTAACTGAGAGTGGAAACAGTATTTTTGAAATTGGGCAGAAATATGGTGGACAGATTCATTATGCAAAAAATGTGTCCATCATCCTGCCAGTGATATTAAGGTGTAAGAGACTGAGCTGATGCTCTTCGTGTAAATATTGTAAATGAGGTGAATATTAATTTGTTATTCAAAAGCTGCACCAGATTATTTAATTATGAAACTATTCGAGGGTAATAGTGAATAAATCACGGCATAATATTGTTGATGTGGGTAGACTAGATGAACTAGTTGTGTTGAAACTATTTAATTAAATATCAATTGAATATTGAAGATTGAATATCATTTTTACTAAATGAATTTTATTTTTTAACAACTTTCCAACTGACGACATCGCACGTTTTAACTCGAACGCATCATTTCTCTTGGAATACATTTCAGAAGCAACAACATGAAATTTATTATAAATATAACACGCTTTTAAATATAATTTGTTTTGTGCCATTGATTAATTCATAAGCATTGACACAGAGGTAAATTGATCGTTTTTTGGCATCGAAGATCACAAAGTTTTTTTATACGATATTCAAAGCATCTATTATATATTTGATAAATGTTTCTTTTGAGTTATTTAATTGGAGAACTGTAAAAACTGTTTTTTTAACGAGGATTCAATCACCGAATTTGATAATTCAACACTGATATCTGTAGAACTGGAATATAAATTGATCGTTTATTGACTCTTGTCAGTAATTTTGTCTCGTGTTTATTATTTTAACTACAAATATTATCCCTGAAGTACTCCTGAATTTTCACCAAAACTTTAGTAGAAAATGCAGTAACTCCAGTAAAAATGACAGTATTCTTTGAAATTTCAACGAATTTACCCATTTATTGACTAGAACTTTGGTGAAATCAGGTTTAATTTTCAGTATTTTTTTTCACCCGTCAGGGGTGAGAATTCCCTTTCATAATGCCGTCTGAATATCTCTCGTCATCTCCCCAATCAACCACCCCTTCCCTCTCGAGTCTAAAAAAAAAAATAGATGCGTCAGAGCTGTCGAAAAAAATTGCTCTACGCATAATGACACTGTCAGCAATAGCATGGATTTCTAGGTCTATCAGGCTCTGGCTCATGGCATCGCAAAACTCGCTGATGAGGTAGCAGTGACGTGTCCACAGTAGCTTCCATTCTACGCATAACTCTATCTAGTAAAACATCAACAGCGCGTGCAATATTCTGTCCAGTGGCTGCACTAGTTTCCAAATATACCATGCTAAAAGAATTCAATGAATTAATTAAGCAAAGCGCAATTTATTGAGAAAAACTCGTGCTCCCCTCACCCGTATTTTTCGGCGAGTTCTCGCGCCTTGTGCTCGCTGACCACCCGACGTTCCTCCAGATCGCACTTATTCCCACAGAGTACAATATCTGGCTCCTCGCAATACGCGTGAGTCTATGAAAACCATGAAACCCCGAGTAATCATATCAGATGGCATCCGCTCCAAATATTACGGTAAAAATATTACGGCAAATGATATAACGATCCGAATTCTTACGGGGTCTGATTATTATTTTTTGGACCCTTACTGTGACCCTTATCCGTATCTTACTCTGAACCTTGTGACCCTTATTTAGGCCCTTGTCTGACCCTTATTACACCTTATTTGGGCACTTAATTTGACCCTTGTGGCCCTTAATCTACTCTCGTGACCCTTATTCTGACCCTCGTAACCCTCATTCTGATCCTCATGACCCTTAGCTTGACCCTTAATTCCCCTTATTCTGATCCTCATGGCCCTTATTTTGACCCTTAATTTTGGAGTCTTAATTTCGAGTGCCAAATTTTCATCACCTGAAGTCGATTTGGATTTTTATAATATAATAGAAATCCTATGGAGAATTCGAACATTTCCTGTAGAAATTTCCAGATAGGATTCCCTATAGGATTCATTATCACGTTTTTCCTATTGTATTTCTTAGGGATATGTTTATATAGGGGTTATGTGGGGGTCATATGAAGGTCATTAGATCCTCATATGAGCCTCCTACGACCTCGGCGTGACCCCCATATATCACCATGTGACCCTCGTATGGCCCTTATGACCCACATGTGACCCTTATATGATTCCCACAAGGTCCCCACATGACCCTCATTCCCATCTGACCCTTATGACCCTCAATTTCATAGGAAATCCTATTGAAAATCTTATAGGATATGCTATAGGAAATCCTATCTGAAAAATCCTATAGGAAATGATCAAATTCTCTATAGGATTTTTTCATACGTATATTGAAATGCTACAATTTGGTGTAAAATTTCCCTTGGTCTATTTACTCCGTGGTCTATTTTTTTGAGGTTCATAACTTTTCCGTAATATTTTGTCCCGTCATATTACCGCATAATATTTTTTACCGTAATATTTAGACCCGCAGTCATATCAGATGACGAGAATAGACATACAGAAAATTGATACGCGGAATGAGGTCATTGGGTCAGTGGACAATAGCCTCATATCGAATAAAATGTAATGAAAAATCGAAATTGGATGCTCTACCTTGAGCTGCTCCAGCCAATTTCTCACTTCGAGAAATGATTGCTCATTCGTCAGGTCAAACAACAGAAGAAATCCCATTGAGTCGCGATAAAATGCTGTCGTTAAACTCCGAAACCTAGATTGTGTCATTCATTTCAATCAATTATTTCATTTTTTTTAATGGAAATTTTAAGAGTGAAAAATTATTGAAAAACAAGGAGTATTTCGCTATTTGCTTTGCAATTTATGTGGAGAAAACTCGAGGCCTATATGACATTATCTACACTGTAAAGTGCGTCTATTGCATCTCAAATGTTTTCATATTTTTAGAAATTGAGAAAAATTGGAAAATCAGATGTTGAAAAAAATTGTAATAATTTTTTTTATTATGAAAAATTGAAATTTTATAGGCAGTTGACCAGTAATTTTCAAGAGAGTGACATTGAGTTTGATTTAGAAAGGAAATAATCAATGAAAATTCAATGAAATTGAATTTTTTTTAGCAGCAGAAAAACGAAAATTCCTCAATTCACTTAAATTTTTTCATTTTTTTTCAATAGAAATTGTGAAGGACTGAAAAATTAACTATTAAAAAAAATAATCATATACACTGTTAGAAATTTTTAGAAATTTCCTGGTAAATGGGATAGTAATTCTCATGAGAGTGACATTAAATGCGATTTAGAAGAAAAATAGTTATGAAATTTCAAGTTTTATGTAGAATTCAAGGAAATTCATGAGTTTTCAGTGACAGTGAGCCGCAAATTTCACAACTTGATTGAATTTTCAATGGAACATGAATATTCAGAAACAAAATAACACGAGTTTTCAGTTTTTCCCTGAACTCTCCTAATTTTTCCAAATTTTCACGGAATAAATGAACAGAAAAATCAAACATTTGATTCATTTTCAGATCATTCGAACCTAAAAACAATGGACTATTTGATTTTTCCATGACAAGATTTCCTGAAATTTCAGTGAAAATTAAACATGATAAAAATTTCCGGGATTTGACGCGAAAAATTCAGAGAAAAATTTTTTAAAGTGTAATTCTTTGTTCTACAATCCCGAGAAACCTAGACCTAAAATGCCTTCATATTTTCGCAAACTGAGGAAACTAAAAAATCAATGACTGAAAGTAATCGTGACAATAATAATTTTCCATAATCAATTACCTCTCCTGTCCGGCAGTATCCCACAATTGCAAATGCACCCGCTGAGTTCTGCCATTGGTAGTTCTATAAATCTACTCCATTCGCCCACAATGAATTCGTTATAATGCGATAATGAGGCATGAGAATAAATTCTTACCACTCGTTTTTCCCGGAAATCAATGCCCACAGTGGATACAAAACGTGCGTTAAAAAGTCCATCGGTGTAATGATACAAAAAGCTCGTTTTACCGACTCCAGAGTCGCCGAGTGCCAAAAATTTGATCAAGTAGTCGTAATCCATACTTAATAGTTTAGATTAAAAATCTCTTAACGACGAATTATCTATCAACAATTTAATTCTATCGTCGGTGTTCAGTGGTTACCCCCAATATTGTGAAAAATTAATGAACAAACATGTGCCCAACTGCATGTACCTGAACACCTGTTGCCATACGCTTGCAATATCGAAGCGTATCTTTGAGCATTTAAACCCAGAAAACAAATATATCAACCAAACTTCTCCAGTTAACAGCAATAACATCAATTTAACCCTTGTAATTAAGTTTAAACAAGTTGAACTTGTCACTTTGGCAGTTTGATAAGTTGTTTAACTACACTCTACAGTTACCAGTGGCAATATGGCGATAGACGATTAAGCTACTGTTGTACATGACGAACACAAGCGACTATTGCCGTAGAAGCTTTAGATGTATGGCATTTAGCTTCTTCCTTCAGCAAGGGCATGCGTATTGCGTGTGAACAGACCGCAGGTGTAACTGTGTCGTTTAATTTATTCGTGTAATCTTCAACACGAGGGGACAACAATGAATTCATTCCCGATGGGCTGTTTCACCTGAATCTTTTCAGCGAGGGAAATGAAACATTTGGCTTCAGGAGGAATTGACGGGAGCGAGGGGGATTAATTGAGCGCGGCGCGCTTTCGTGAGGGAAAAGCTCACCTTCATAAATAACCAATCACCAGTTATGCCACTGCCGCATCATATTTTGCGTCAGATGGAAAGGCAGCATTAACATTGTCTCGATTGAATCATACGTCAGCGCTGTGAAGGTCTCATAATAGCTATACATTGTTGCAAAATTTTCCGCGGATATTTCAAGGAATTTTGTCATTGAAAATTCATAATTTTGGGGAGAAATCCGTGGGAACTGTAAATTTCAGTTTAATTATTACCGGAAATTTGGGGAGAAAACGGAAAAATTTAAAGAGCACTGTCAATTGCTGTTCTATTTTTCCCTGAAAATGAATAGAAAACCAGAAATTTGAATTGAATTTTCAGGACAGTGACACTGGATGCGATTTAGGGAAAAAAAAATTATGAAATTTCAGATTTCAGTGAAAATTCAATGTAATTTGGCACTGAATAGTCATATTAGATTGGAAATTCAAATAAATTAAGGCATTCTCGTCTTTATGATGCTTAAAATTCTGGAATTTTACTGGATTTTCAGTGAAACCTGAAATTTCATTATTTTTTCCCATAAATGTTCATGAGATTTCATTTTTTTCTAACAGTGTAGTTGTTGGAAAAAATTAGAAATTTTAGATTTCAGACTTTAGCAATAATTTTGAGAAGAGTGAGAATGAATTGGATTTTTACATGCAAAAACAATAAATTTTCAGATTTCAGTGGAAAATCAATGAAATTCCACATCTTTTAGCAACAGGAAGACGAGGATTCCTCAACTTTGTTGGATTTTATGTAAAAAGATGGATGTTTCGTCCTAAATTCCGGCGAATTTTCAATCAATTGAAAATTTAAGAGTATATCTAACTGCATTTTCTTGATTCCTATCAATTTTTATAGAATAATCAAACTGAAATTTACAGTTTTCACCCATTTTTCCATAACACTTTGATTTTTCGATGACGAAATTTTCTGAGATTGCGGCATAAATACAGCAGCTTTTATTGATATCCTGAGACACAAATGAATTGCAAATAATTGCAAAGAAAAAAGTAGACAAATGTATTCCAAGTTTTTTTTTCTAAAATTTCATAATGAAAAAAAAGAAAAATACCGCGTAAAAATCGTAACAAATTTTTCAAGAGAATTAAACTTCACCAAACAAAATAATCCCGAAGAAAAATGATATCCAAAAGAGTCAAAGCCCACTTCAACTTCAAATGAATGAGTATTTGTTTGTTCCCGAGATGACAGCCACCACGTCACTGTGAAATAAGCTTAAAATCTCCGAAGCCGTAGTGGGGAGGGGCTCTAAACACAGCTGGATGTCAACCAGCATGAGAGTTATCTGGCGTCTCGGACGAAAATAGATGAAAATGAAAAATGCCGGAGGAAGAGAAACACGAAAATCGCGGTGCGTGGCCAGTCCCGCGTGGAACAAAATCAGTGGTTGAGACGTTGATTAAAACCCAGTGAATAGACCCACTGTCCAATGCAACATCAAAACACATTTGCCGATTGAATTTATGAATTGATATCGGTTTTATCGAGCGTAAGAGGCAGCTGAAAAATCGTGAAAACACATCATCATCGGGGAATTGTCTTCACCCAGTGAATTAATCGAGGAAATAATGAAGAGGCATTATGTGAGGTCATCGGTGCGGAGTAGAGACTCATCAAGCACATCAACAGGTTTAGACCCCAGGGAAAGAGTCAAGGACTGCTGCAGGAAGCTGGTGGCATTCATGTGCACGCAGGTTGGTGTTGGTGGACTAGTCGTTGGTTACGCTATCGTCGGGGCAATGGGTTTCATCGCCATCGAGACGCAGGAGGAGTATCCCCACGTATCGGCGATCATAAAATTGCGGAGGAACTTCTCGGAGCAGTTGTGGAATCACACGGCGGGAGACAGAAAAGTCAACATCATCAACAAGACCGCGTTCTACAGAAATACCGATGTTATCCTTCAGAACTACCAGAGCAGTGTGGTGGCTGCTATCAAGGGGGGATACAATAACAAGACTGTCCTGGAGGTCTGGAGTGTGCCTGCTGCTCTCATGTACAGTTTGTCGGTGTTCACCATGATCGGCTACGGGAATATGGTGCCCAGGACACCCTGGGGCAAGGGGGCAACTGTTCTTTATGCCATTTTTGGAATTCCACTCTATGTGCTGTATTTTTTGAACATGGGGAAGGTGCTGGCGGGGACCTTCAGGTATGGAGATGATACTTTTGAAAGCGATCACTAATTTCTTATTCATAAAGTTTGAATTTCCAAACTCATCGTGAAAACTGAACATCACATACAATTCAACTTTCAATGATTGAGAATTCAGAATAGTTGACTGAATTTTTAAAATTTTCGAGGTTTTTCAGTGCCGTATGGCTCTGAAAATCGAGAATTACTTGAATATCCGAGATATTAACTGATTCGTCAATGGAGAAATATACAGAAATTTAATGTAACTTTGTCGTTGTTAAAAATTTCAAGGTTTTCCATTTGAAATCTCAAAGAATTTTATCGTTGAAATTTCAGTTTTTTTCCCTGAGTCAAATTCAATGTCACTCCTCTACGATGGAATTCGTCCTCACATGACCACATATTCACACGTTCTCTTCAAAAACGAAATGAAGCGTTTTATCTCCGAAAATACATCATTTCCCTTGAAAGATAAAATCGTTTTGTCTTCAATAAACCGTTTTGTTATTCAAAATGAACCATCTAATCTTCAGATGGCTCTACCGCTGGTTCCACGAGTGCACCGGAAAGATCCGTCCAGGCCAGAAGATCATAGTTCCCTCGACCGCATGCCTCTGGGTGATATCCGCTTATGTCCTCGTGGGGACAATCATGTTCGCCCAGTGGGAAGGATGGGACTACTTGGACAGCGCCTACTTCTGCGTGACATCCCTCTGTAAAATTGGAATGGGGGATTTTGTACCCGGGGCAACCTTCGCCGACGTCGCCAAGGATGGACACCTCAAGCTCGTCATCAACTTCATTTATCTGCTGCTGGGATTGGGACTGCTCGCCATGTGCTACAATCTAATGAGGGAAGATGTCAAGGAGAAGGCGAAGGAGCTGAAGGCGGACGTCATCGATGCATTTGAGGAATTTCGAGAGAGGATCATCGCGTGTTGTCATTCCGATGACATTTGAGAATTTGAAAATCTAATTTATTGAGCAATAAATTATTCTCTGAATAAATCAATCTTTCAATGAGAGTTTTGATGCTTTTGTTTGAATGATTGAGGGAATGCTTTCTTTTCGAAAAAAAGCATGAGCAATATCTCGAATGAATGAGCAAACAAACGAGTAAGAGAGAATTCAATACCATTCTATGAAACATGAATAAACGAATCATAACTGTCCAACTGATTTTGGTCAGAGGAAAATAGAATTATTCTACTTTCTTAATATAGCGTTTACTGAGGTTTTCTTTGAACAAAGCTGATCATGAGATGATCTCACATTTTTTTACGTTAAGAATAGGAGAATGTGAATGTAACATAGTGAAAATGATGATCCATTTTTTCACTTTGAACAATTAATATTAATATCCAAATACAAAATTTCTGATATGAATAAAAAGAAGCTGTGACTCAATTTTACAAATTAAGTTTTAATTTTTAATTTGGCGCTGAAAACACGAGATGATAATATTCTAAGCGCGGAATTGTATTGATGAGATGAACAACAGATTAATTAAATTATCTAAAACTTGATAACAGTGTGAATACACACTTTTACCAGAGTATCAATAAACATTGAATTCCAGAAATTCACGCATGAAAAAAATCAATAGAAAACCTAGCGAATTCGTTGGAAAATTCTACGGAAATTATATTGAAAAATTCTACTTGTTTTTTGCGCTGATTCTATTGTACATTTGATAGGAAAAAGTCAATATATTTTGAATTTTTGTTCGAATTTTTCTCTTGAGATTTTTTCTATTAGAATTATTGGGCACAAATTTTCCAAGTTTTCTCCGCTGGATTTTGTTTTGTTGTGCATTACAGAATTCGAGTTGAAAAAACTTAGAAAATTGATAACCCAGCATTCTTACAGGAAAAATCTCAACAGAAAAATTCAAACAGAAATTCGAAATTATTGACTTTTTCTTATCGAATATCCAATAGAAATCCTACAGAAATCCCGCAGAATTCCTATAGAATCCCAATAGAATTTTCTAGCGAATGCGCTAGATTTTCAATTGAATTTTTTTACATTCTAATGTATTCTAGTGTATTCTGTAAACAATTGAATCGTAATTATGATTAAAGTCTTATGCAGTGAGCACAGGAATTAGAATATGAGCAAATCATTTATTCCAATAAGAAAATTTAACAGCTATATTACTTTTTGCAATGAGAATAATAATAAACAATTGATTAAAAAGAAGAATATATTCTACATATAGAATCTGCCAGGAAAAAGGGCATCAAATTCAAAAAATTGTCCATCTCGCCTTTACCATCAGCTGAAAACCCAGCAAACACCAGTGCCCGTATGACTCAACTTGAACTGTACAATGACTATTATTATTTATGAATAAAAACTATCGTCATTCTTTTTATCCTCAACGCTAACGCTACAACATTCTGCCCTTTATTTTTAGAGTACAGAATTGTAATAACAGTGGTGTAATGTGCGGTCAGGAGAATAAAGCCATGAGTGTGCAAGATACAGTGGAAATATTGACACAGGAGTGTATTGAACTCAGAAGGATACTAGCTGCTACGAGTGATGATAGGGAGAAGGAAAAAATTGTCCTCAAGCATATAATCAGTAGAGCCAACAGTGATTTACATGTCAACGACTTCCAAAAAGGTTTTACGTTGTTATTTTGTCTGCATGTTTTATTTAATTAATTTATTTCTTTTGCTGACGCGTTATAACCTCATTTCGAGAGTTTAGGGGAAGGAGAGATGAATCGAGTTTTTTTAATCATCTGTCTCTTCTGATTTAGTCGTACGATTTTAATTTATCAAATTTAATTTCAAAGGTATTTTTTCGGGCTTGAAAATGAAAGAAAAAATTATTGAATGTCACTCTGTGGATCTTGAGTTATTTTATCAATTACAAATGATCTCTTTCACCTCTGGAGTGGAAAATAAAAATTGTCAAGGAACTTTAGTAAATTCTCAATATCTCCTGATCCAACGATGCGATTTTGACAAATCAAATTTCACATTGAAGCCTGAAAAAATACCTTCAAAATGAAAAATAAAATTGCTAAATCTCACTCTGCCGATCTCTAATTACTGATGATTGAAAACGCTTCGTTTTACTCTCATCTCTCTCTAAACGTCAATTTCTTTATTTAATGGTGCAACAAGGTCGAGAAGAATTTTGAAATACGATTGGAATTGTCACTGTAGGTCTAGGACATTAGAAAAATCTCGAAATGTCGGTTGAAAAGACTAAACTTGCCAAGGAGAAGGCACCAGGTACCGAAGAAAATGTCAAAGTCGTTTCCAAAGAAGTGGACGAGTACAATAAACTCCTGGAGATTGAGAAACAGCTCGATGAGGAATTGAGTCTGTTGAGGAAAGAACTCGCGGGAGGGCCTTCCATGAAGGAAACCATGGATGACCTTCACGAGTATAACGACATCAAGGACTCGACTCAAATTGTTTTCGGTGCAATGGCAGAAATGCACGAGACAACGGTTTCTCATTTCCACGAGAAATACAATGTTCCGAAAGATTGAGAGAATTTTAAAATGACTATTGTATTCAGGAGGCGCTATTTACGTTTCTAACACACTTGTCATTGTTTTCTTGCAATAAACATTCATGTGCGGCTCATTGGATTATGCTTTATTTTTTTATTTTTGGGGTACTGTCATTTCGGTAGGACTCGAGTGGTTCAATGTCTCCGAGGGATTGTCAATGTCTAAACATTTGGCTGGGAAAATTGTTGTTCTCGACTTCTTCACCTACTGCTGCATCAATTGTATGCACATACTGCCGGATCTTGAGGCGGTGGAGAAGAAATATACGGTTGAAGATGGTTTGGTTATTGTTAGTATCGATTTGATGGTGATGATTCAGTAGTGAATTGAATGAGGAAAAAATCAAAATTTTTGTCGTATTTTATTCATTCTTTATTTTATATTATTTCGTTATTGATTTTGTCGTATTTTATTAACCTTCAACGCTATTAATTTTAGGAGGCAATTTTGGGAAGATTTCAATTGGAAATTTTATTCTTTACGAGAAATGTCTTGCGATGTTTTCTCTTAAATCGACTGGGTTTCGAGATAATTTTATATTCTATGAATACTAAATTGAAGAAGTGAAAAATAATTTTAGTGAAATCACACATATTAGATATCGTTATTTTCATTGAACATCATTCATCAATGAAAATAAAGTCAAATTCCCCGTCTCTCTTCACTACTGAATCCAAAAATAGAAGATAAATTGAATAATAACCAGGAAATTTGCTCAAATAGATCGGCGTGCACAGTGCAAAATTTTCCAACGAGAAAGACTCGGCTAAGATTCTGTCGGCTGTACAGAGATACAACATACTACATCCGGTAGTGAACGACGCGAAATTATCGATGTGGAGGGACATTGGAATAAGTTGTTGGCCGAGTCTAGTAATTCTGGGTATAAAAATAATTTTCAAAGCGCTTTAACTGAAATTTTGCATTAAAAAGTGTCAGATGAATCTTTCATTATTTCTTTAAATAGAAAACAAGTGGGAAATTGCTCTTGTATTGTATATAGTATAGTCACATTTTTGCTAATAAATTAGCAATATGCTTCCGAATGGTATTTTGCACATCATTTCCTTTTATCACGTATAATTCATTATCTATTTAATTTTATGAAATTGAATACGATTTCCTTTTACCGAATTTTGTCAGATTTTCAACTCAGTTGAATGTTACAACAGCATCATTATTCTTATCCCTTTCTTCTATACAACCGATTGTCTTTTTTACAGTTCTATCTCTCCCCTCAGCCCTTCGATAAAATGTCAATGGAAAAATTTTATTTACTCATACTTGAATGAATTTGAAACATCACATTTTAAGAAACCATGAAAAAGCTCACTTTGAGGGAAATTCATGAAACATTCAAAAGAAAAAGATTCAATTCCATCCATTCATTAGCGAACAAATTGCAAAACTTAACTTGTTACCATTCGGAAGCAAAAAATACGAGAATAAAAAAAAATCGTCTGATATTTTAAATCTTTTGTGCAAAAAAAAATGAATACAAGAGCCCAGCCAATGTTCACGAAATAAAAACCCCATAACTGATGAAATAGGTCCTCAAGCCCAGCCTCTGGTCGTCCTTGTCGGTGAAGGTCACCGTGAGGAGCTCTTCCTCTACACAAAAGTCGCCCTATCGTACTTTAAATCCCACAATGCAATACGCAATCACGATCTCCCTGTGCGCCCAGCGCAGCATCTCCTCCCAGTATCGACCAAAGAAAATCTCCTCTTTCCCGGTAAAGTTATTGGTTTCGAGGACGAGAACGAGGACAAAATAATCGTCTCGGATACCGGAAACAACAGAATAATTATCATTCGACTCGATGGAACAGTGGAGCACGTAATTGGAGGGTATTCGCCAGGACTGAAGGACGGGAGCTTCGAGATGGCTAGATTCAACGCCCCTCAGGGTGTTTGCCATCGTGGTGACTCAATCTATGTAGCTGATAACGAGAATCACGCCATCAGGCTCATTGATTTGAAGAGTAAAAGTGTAACGACTCTTGCTGGAACTGGTTCTCAAGGGCATGATTATCAAGGTGGTAAAATCGGCAAGGCTCAGGCTATATCATCACCTTGGGACGTTGCACTTTATGATTATAAGGAGAATGAGCAATTATTGATTATTGCTATGGCTGGGACACACCAAATATGGGCATTGTTTCTGCAGGATACTGTCTGGTGGAAGAATAAGTAATTATTTCATGATGCTTTTGATGACTATAATCATCTCGAGGATGAATTAGTTTGAAAGAAAATTTCTGAACCAGTTTCTCATGGAGAATTGAAATTTTGAAGAAAAAATGTGTTTAGAATTTTTTTTTTACGATATGTTGTAAAAATTTACGATTTAATTATGTGAACATTGAAAAATTGAGAATGTATTCTCATATTTTCCTTAAAATTCACTCATCTCCTCCTGGTTTTTGAGTTTTTATATTATATTATAGTTTCACAGAAGTTTTAAGGAATTTCATAATTCAAAAATTGAAATTTAATGGAAAAATCAATGAGAACTCAAAATTTCAATTCAATTATTCCCTAAAAGTTACCAGAAATCCGAAAAATTCAAGTAAACTCATTTTTGAATATTCACTTAATTGAAATTTGGAACTTATTATTCATGTCTCAATTAAAAACTGAAGAAAATGTAATGAACTTTAATTGAATATGCAGTCAAATCTGAGATTTCTGTATGTTTTTTCTTGATATAGTGCACTCTAATATTCATTATTAATAGAGAATACAAGGCCGGAAGCTGCGCAGCGATCGTGGGAAATGGCCGAGAGGCGAATAGAAACAACACATATCCCCACGCAGCGAGTCTAGCTCAGCCCTCGGGTCTAGCAATCTCCCCCGATTCAAAAATCCTATTCTTCGCCGACAGCGAAAGCAGTTCCATCCGAAAAATCTACCTCCAAGACGGTCGAGTCTCTCCCCTCGCTGGAGCCGATAAAAATCCACAAGTGCTTATTCACTCACTCGTTATTTCTCCATCGTAATAATTTTAATTTTCCCTAATAAATTACAATCCATAAAATTTCTCTACCCCAGGATTTGCATAATTTTGGTGATGTTGATGGTATCCAATATTGCGCAAAGTTTCAACATCCACTGGGAGTTACTTGGGACAGTAAACGTGAAGTTGTGTACGTTGCTGACACTTATAATCACAAAATTAAGCAAATTGATTCAGCTGGCAAATGCACAACGCTTTATGGAGCTGGAAAACCGAGTAAGGATCACGTGTTCGATGAACCGAGTGGCTTGGGACTACTAGCTAAGCACAATCTACTTTTAATTGCTGATACCAACAACCATTGCATCAAAACCATTAACTTGGAGAGCAAATTAATAAATACTGTGAGTAAAAGCGATTGGAAGACTCATTAAATTATTTTAATTAGAGCTGTTAGGTTGGATAATATTTTAATTGTGGTATTTTTTAATTACCTTCAATAAATATCACTCCTGGAATTAATTAGGGGATTGAATTCGAAGTGAATGAGGAAATAGTTCGAGTAGAGTTCATCGAGGGAAAAATTATCGTTCAGACCGTTTGAATTTCGATATCTGTTTCGGATTTCGAGTTAAAAATTGAAGGGTTTAAGGATATCCAAGTATTTTTTTACACTTTGGTGCAGATCACACTATAGATTTAACCATTTTCAATCGTAAAATTTGTCAATTAAATTGCGCGAGAAAAATTTGAAGAAAAATCATGAATATTCTGCCTCATTCAAATTACATTTTGCACAGAATTACTATTTTTTAAAAACTATTTCATCAATCTTCCTCCAAAAGTAAACTTTCTAATTTTTTAAAGATTTTTTAAATGTTTTCAAACGATCCAATATCGCGGTTCAAATTCAGAACTGCAAAGTTTAAATAATAAAATCATTGTAAACTGATCCGGAAATTTAGGGTCAAATGGGGCTCAAACGAAAGCTCTGATATTCGACTACAAAAGTAGAAATGCATTTCACTGGAGAAACAAGTGGAAAATTGCTCTTGTATTGTAAGTTCAATTGTGATTTTTTATCTTCCCAGATAGCAGACTTGAAGTATCCAATGAAAGTCGTTCGCCCCTTCGACAAAGTCCTGGACTTCTCGACCGAAATAAGTAACAAAGAAGCTGAGATGACGATATCCTTCGCGACTAGGTTCACCGCTGGTGTGGAATTCACTGCAAGCGCACCACAAAAATGGTCCCTAAGTCATCCCGAATCGTGGACGTCTGAGAGCCCAATGGGATCACTCAGCACGCCGATTAAACTAGAACTTCCAGAGGATGATACACCTGAAGAGCTAGCGATAACAGTTAACTTTGTAGTCTGCACGAATGGTCAGTGCATTCCGAGGAGGTTAAAGATACTGCATCGAGTGCTGCGTAAGGCAGGTGCTCCGACGAATATCGAACAAACCGATGAAATAGAAATTTTGTAAACTAATGATCGAAGAAAATTAAAAATCTAGGCATTATAATTGTATAATTGAATTTTGCACTTTTGTCTCTAATAAAATAACTCGATAAAATTGTACTCTCTTAATTGTACTTTCTTAAATACCAAATTACGGTAGACTAATTATAAATTTTTATACGAAATTTGTTGCAAGTTTATGATAGAATCAGGAAAATAAAGAATTCCACGAGATTTCGAATGTTCTTTCGTGAAATGATGAATGAATAAAACTCCAAAATCTAGTAAAAATAGTTGTGTAATTGTGCAGCTTGTCTTTAAATAAAATAACTAACTGTAAAAACAGTTGTGTGAACTCTCCACTTCTTCGAATACCCAATTACCGAAGAAAAATTCTAAGCACAGTTGTGCTAACAAATCAACAGAATGAAAATTTCAAAGGACTGCAGAGGTTACCATTCCCCAAAAGAGCAAATAAAACCACAAATCTGAAGAAGATGAAGCTCAATTCTGCAGAATTACAACTGCAATTCATCGATAAACGATCAACCAAGTAAAATAACTGCTCAAAATAATATTTTTCACAAAGTTTGCACGACTGTGCAGATTAACTCTGCCAGATTACGAATGCATGTCATGAACTAATGAGTGAATAAAACTTCAAATCGTGGAAAAACAATTGTTTAATTGTGCAGCATGTCTTCAAATAAAATAAAAACTGTAAAAACAGTTGTGTGAACTCTCCACTTCCTCGAATACCCAATTACCGAAGAAAAATTCTAAGCACAGTTGTGCTAACAACCCGCCAGAATAAAAATTTCAAAGGACTGCAGAGATTAGCATTCCCCAAGAGCAAATAAAACCACAAATCTGGCCAAGATAAAGCTCAATTCTGCAGAATTACAACTGCAATTCATCGGCAAACGATCAGTCAAATAAAATAACAGCAAAAAAATTCCCGACGACTGATTCTAAGCACAGTTGTGCACACCTACATAATTTCCAACAATTGCCCCTCAAAGACGTGTGAATAACAAAACGACAAAAACTCATCGACTAAAACGGGGCTAATATCCTTTGTACACAAGTATAATTCAGCGTAAGTAACAACCGACGATGAGTTCACAAGAATGTTAGCGGTAAAACTCATGCATGTTGCATCACAAGACAACTCCTCTGCTGTAATTTACCACCGAGATTATAACAGCTGTAATAGTTAAATCCACATATAAATTTATACTATTCTATTCATACCCGCGAGGGAAATAAAAATAATAAAACTCCATGTTTATGCACATGTAAATGCGGTGGGGTTACACTTCTGGATAATTCAGTATTGCGGATGTCGGTTATGAAATTACCAGACGTGCCTTAAAATGCTTAAAATCCCTTGCGTGTTTTGCTAGAATCAACGGTGGAGGGGGAGTTATTAGTGTGAGCATGCATGGGGATGTCCATACGGTTAATTAATGACTAGACTCGTGCACATTTGCCTGCCTTGCTGAATTATAATATAATTTGAGTAATTATACCAGCGGAAACGGAAATCGTTGCATGTCGTCTAATTACAAGACATCATATTAGTTATAAAATTGCATAATAATAATCCGATAAAATTTTTAGACTCCAGTTTTCAATTTCTGTTATTTATTCTATTCATTCTGTCAGAAGACAAGGATAGAAATTGAATGTACGGGTATTCTTCCACTATTGGAAAAAATATATCGATTTTAGATTTAATTAGAAGATTTAATTTTTTCTTCTCGCTTAAATATTGATGTCCCTCTAATACTTGAAAAAAAAGTGATTCGAAGTTGCCGCCGATATAGAGAAGAAAAAAAATTATTTTTGATTCTTTTTTATTTTTAGAATTTATAATGTGGCTGGGAAATTATGTAGAATAGTCTGAAACGTAAAAATGCGAAGTTTGACCATCCTGTGTGTATGTGCGAATGTGAACTTTCAAAAAATTAAAGAATTAAAGGACTCAAATGATTCAAAAAAATCTGAAATTTTGTCGGATTATAGGTACTAATGAGACCTAACTCTGTACTAAATTTCGGCCCAATCGATCCAGCCGTTTTTCAGAAATCGTCATTTGTTTCTAAATCGTTTTTCGCAAAAATCTCAAAAACTACTCAACCGATTTCAATTTTTGTGTTCAAAATATTCGTCTCGATGTCTTCTATCTCAATCAATCAAAATATGCATATCCGTTAATACAAAGTTTTTGAGAAATTTCCATTTTCCGGTTTTTCGCTCAAAATCCGTGTTAGCACTCTCATTTTTGCAAAAATCGACATTTCAACTTGTTTCATTTTCTTTTCGTAGTAATAATTGCAACCCGATTATAGGAATGAGAAGTATCGATATCCTTTTATACTATATGAAGGGAAAAATAGATTCCAAAAATTATCAGGAATACATAAAGAGATTTTTCTATTACCCGAATGAGATTGCAAATGACTTTTGTTTTGTGTTGGTTTTGATCCCAAAAAAAGCCTTTTTATTGATCTTCAACATAAATCCTCTTCATTCAGTGTTGTAACTTGTGAATTACGGATAAAATGGATACACAATAAGAATAAAACTGGATACAATTAAATTGATATAATTGTGAAGACGGAAATCGAAAGGAAATAAAATAAAACAAAATAGTATAAGTTAATCTGGCTCGCTAGTTATGATTTTAATTGAACAAATGTCGATTGAGAATTATTGATGGATGGTGACTCTATTGACCTGACCTATTGTCTGGTACCCCGGTACCCCAATTGCCTCGTACCCTGGAAACCCGAGTCATCGGGCTTGTCGTTTTTTAATGCCCCTCAACATCATTTCACATATGTCCTGATACTGCCGGTGGGCGAGACAATCTGGGACCCTCGATTTTACCGTTATATTTGGACTTTGTTCCCACGAGCCAAGCGATTATGCCAACAAGAGCACTGTACATGGACTTGGTAATTATCCGGTGATTATAAATTCTGTTATTAAGGAGAAAATTTGCATAAACTCTCAGATATTTAAGAGACGGGGAAATGATGATTTTGATAATGAGAGCGAGTTAATTATGAATTTTTTGTTCATTCGTATTCGAAATGACGTGAAACAAATATGAATTTGTGACGTCTGTATAAAAATAAATGAATTGATATTGAATATTAAAATCCATCCGTTATTCAATTAGTTGAAAATGAGATTTTTATGGGACGGGTGGACATTTAAAGGAAAAAAATTCATTGGAATTTTATATAAATCATTCATCTCATCTCCTCGGAGGCCACGGTGACAGTGATGCAGGTCAGGTTCATCGGAGTTATGAAAGCTAATTCAATCCAGTCAATCTCAACGGGATAAATTCCGGATTCTGCGAAACCACTTTTTCACTCAAAACCTCGGGTATTTTGGGATTTTTCATAGTTCACTGGGGGGACAGGATCTATTCGAGTCCCGTTAAATTCGAAAGCCAACTTCGGAACACTAGTTTGCCCATTAAAAATAACACCGTTGAGTATGTATCTAGCAACACCAAGCAAATATTTTCAATACGACTGAAAGATAATTTTTTTTGTGGGAATAATCTCATTGTAAATTAAATCAAACATTCAAAATTGAAATCACATTTTTTTCAATTTCACTCTGAAAGGTATGAATACTACCTCTTGCGCCCGAATAATTTCCAAAACATTAAAATTGCAGAAGACAATTTAATGAACCGTTGTGAAATATCAAAATTTTTAATCTTCATTTCGTTTAAAAATATTAAATATGAATGAAATTAATGATAATAATAATAATAATGATAATAATAATAATAATAATAATAATGATAATAATAAATATTGAATTTCCATTTCGAAAAATTTTACTGCAAAATTGTTGAAGTCGAAGAAAATAATTTAACGAACGGTGTCGAAATATCAAAAATTAAATTTCCATTTCGTTAATTTCCCATAAAAAGTCTATTTTTATTCCATCTGACTGTTCTCCAAATTCACTGCAACTAATTAGACTACGGACGAATGTTAATCTGAACTACAATAAATAAACTTTAACTTTTAATAAACATCTGGTCGTCCCCAAGTGTTGATAACCCAAGGACCCGATAAACCGTTTCATCCTGAGAGTAACTAGATTTTCGGACACTTTTACCGAGTTTACATACAGGGGAGAGTGGGGCAAAATGGAACAGTCAAAAAACTGTTTTTTATCAACTTTTGCTTATTAATTTTTTCTTTATTCTTGGGAGTACTGATGAGAATAATAATTTTCCACTCAGTAAATTAAAAAATTATTGAGAAGTTTTGACGGGAGAAGATTTTGACGATGGATTAATTGAAAAGAAAATGAAACAACGAAATCCAAAGTCCAGAGCAAGGCCCAGGAGAAGACCCAGAGGGGGAAAAAGGAAAATGTGATGCTGAATTTCAATCGAATGAAAAAAGAAAAGTACAATTACGCTAATCCAATCAATTACAATCCATTGAATTATAAGACGAATAGAACATTATTATTCTCATCCGTAATCCCAATAATAAAAAAAGTTAAAAAACAAAAGTGAATAAAAATTATTTTTTGCTTGAATTGCGTCAAATACTCCTTTTTCAGCTGTTTCATTTTGCCCCACTCTCCCCATCTGAATTTATTATTATTAATCTGGAGATTTGTCAGATTGATGAACGGACTAAATATTTCCCCTAGATTTCCAGAATGAAGAGGTCTCTAAAAAGCTCTTCCCCCTACCCTCTACTTATTCCACCCCAATTAGTCATGTCTCCCAACCTGTTGTCAACCAGGGGATGTTGTCCCCCGATGACTTGACCACATCAACCAGCAAAATTAACTGGTCGGCCACCGGGTCGCTACAATTCCCGGTGGTCCCCCTCGGTATTTGTCGGTATTCCTCGGTACCCCCTTTCAGTGTCCCTCTCCAATATTGACACAGGTATCAAGGGTACCTTCATCCGCTGTCCCACAGTCTGCGTTTTAACGTGGTCACCGGTGGGGTACATAGGCCAGTGGTGTTGCTCATCTCATCGCGAGTGTTGCGTGCACTTCCATGGTTCAACGAAATAAATAAAAAAAAAACACCAACTGGGATAAAGAAAATACACAAGGATAGTAATTCAGAAGGAGAGGAAGGCCGAGTGCATTTGGAAGAGAGGAGAGAGGATAACTAAGGGAATATAATAAACCAGAATACCTGGTGCGTAAGGTGGATTCTCGTGGAAAAAGCCATAAGATAAAAGCAAATAGGATAACTGGGAGAGAGGGAGAGGCATCTCTCGCGAGTTACTACAGGGTCACTACCCTTCGTTCAGTGGCAAGGCCAACTGCAATATACTACACTCAACGAGAAACCCGAGCACATACGTAGATCAAGGAGCAGATACTGCATCCTTCATCATTATCGTTATCTGTATCTGGGGGTGAATCGCTGGGGGAGGGCAGGGAGTGGTTTAATTGAGGGCTTAACGAGAATGGCAGTCTGAGGGATTCGACGAAGGTGAGTTTATTTGATTTATTTCGATGGAACAGAGGGCAATGAGGGAACATAATAGTCAAATTTTTTAGGGCAACTGTTGAAAAAGTAATCAATGATTTTCCCTACTGATAACAATATACTTTTTAGTGAGTCTGAACGTCTCTGTTGAATAATTCATCCCCAAGTCACGAATGTTGAAGAAGAATTTTAAAAAAATCCCATTCATTTCAATTTCGTCCTAAATTTTGAGAGAAATAGTACTTGTGCCCCTATAATTCGAAAAATATGGAAGATTCGTTTGATTGTCAAATTTAGTCTTCAAATGGTAAAATCGGTGGAAAAATTTTTAAATTGAAGAGGACAATTTAATGAACAATTGCGGAGTATCAAATATTAAATTTTTATTTCGTTAAATTGCTATCAAAAGACTATTTTATTTACTTAGATTCTTATAAAAAGGCTCGAATAATTGATCGCAACCCGAAATTTGGAGAAAAAGACTACCTCTTGTGCCCCACTAATTCTCAAAATATTGGAGATTAATTCAATCAATTTATGGTTATTTAAGAAAATTGAAGTATTTTGGCAATTTTTTCAATTCGAAAAAAAAATTGAAAGTCCCCGTTTTGATGGAATTTTATTGAGGAGTTGAGAAATTGCAATTTTCAGAGATTATGATCTGGTTTAAATAAACACTTAAATAACAATTGATTTTGTTCTCCAAAAATAATCTTTTGAAAATTATAAAAAAATTATTTGCGGTTCAATTTTCATCAGAAATCAATTTCCTACATTTTTGAATTTTTCGCAAAAGAAAAATTCTTTATTTAACTATTGGAATTTTCACTTGAACTCTGGCTGAAAAAATTGATCAGATCCTTGACATCCTTGAAATTTTTTTTTATTATCAAAAAACGTAATAATTCAAGTAAAAATTTGAATAGTTGACCCAAAAATTGCCAATAAAACGTCCTTTTTAAACCGGAAATTTTTAAATTTCACCAGAAATTATTTTGAAAATTCCAAAAATTTCACAGGACGATAACTAAAAGTCAGGGGTAATTTCTCCCATACATTCACCTCTCCACGCACCTCATCGCGGTATTTTTCCCCGATTTTTGAACGTCATAACCCACACGACTGAATGAATCCATATAACGGTATTGAAAACGGTCCAGCACTTGGATTCTCGTTGTGTCCAGTTTCTTTGGCCACAGCTTCCGAATTCATCCCAGCCTTTTTACCCCATAGTCCCCTCGCCTCGAATAAACCGCAATAGCATTAGAGCCCACCACCAAGAGTCCATAAATCCGATGCACTGAGTGACAATAAACCTCTCGATTTCCCTCAACGATAGGCGTAATAAAAGTAATAATAAAATGCTCATTACCTCCGGCAATTCTAATATTAGAATTTCAATGCAGGGAAATGAACACCTGTTGGACTGATGATGAGATTAAATGAGCAATTCATCGTGGGCATGCATCATTCAAACGCCAACTAATGTCCATGCGCTAGCTCGAAAACCGGTTGGGGGCTTGAAAAATTTGAGTGCATATTTAGGAGAACCGCTTGACGCCTCTCTATTGAGGGGGTATTTATTCACTGGGTTAGTGGTCCTTCAGATGGGTGTGAGCGTTGACCCTTTTGAGTGTTATGTTTGAAAATATTTCGGGGATAGGGACTGGGCGAGAGGGAGCGATGAACTCTCTTATCCATTATCAGTCGATCATGACGACACTGATAAGGCATTAGTCATTTTGAATTTTATGGATTATGGAAGTATTTATTTTCGATGGAATTTGTCACAATAAGTCTGAGTCTGACCAGCGCCCGAGGGCCTTTAGCCTAATATTTACATCTCTCTATATTATCAAAATCCGAATCGACTTCTGGGGATAAAAATTTAGGACTAAGAGTTAAGACTCCAAAATTAAGGTTCACAAGGGTGAAAATAAGGGTAATGAGGGGGCGAATAAGGGTCATGAGGGTCAGAATACCTCTCGATATTATAAAAATCTAAATCGACTTCTAGTGATGAAAATGTGGTACTCAAAATTAAGAATAAGCGGGGGCATAGCCCCCTAGTATGATATCCAATGTTTTGACTATAAAACACAGAGAAAAAATAAAAGAAAACAAAAGAATAGATGAATAAATATCTTGATCGCTGGTAGTATTGTACGGTTGAATCGGAAAGATAAATTGTTTTATATTTTTATGAAAATATATTCCATCTATTAACTGCAAATTTACTTCGCTACCTTTTCTGGTGCAATAATTCTCAAAATTAAATCAGTCATATGTTAAAAGTTTAAGTGAATTACATTCTTAACATATGATACGATGAAAAAAATACGTTCCCTCGTTGAAAAAAAAACATAAAATTCGATTGAACGAAAAAAGTTGGTCACCCTGAACTTGTGACCTCGAACCCATTGAAAAAGCCCCAACAAAAGGGAAAATACCGGAATTCTTTTGAATTTGGAACATAATTCGGTCGCACGTGGTGAACAGTGGCACTTGTTCCGTCCCAGACAAGCCCGCCTGAATTCAGAGCGTGTCACGCATGATGGAATTACTAACTACTAAAACGCGTCTCGCTGTGAAAATGGTCAATGACGTTCAGAAATGTCTGAACTATTCATCAACTAACAGTATCGAATTGCATTCGTTACTTTCAGAGTAAAAAAGTTCGAGATGGCGATTATGTTGAGATGTCTGCCCTTGATGGGACTGATGGTATATTTAATAATGAGTCACTTACGTTTGATGGCAGCCCTTCCGCTTGGTGAAAACTCATTCGATGAATCTGAAAGCATAAAAAATTCTAGGTGAGTGTCACCGCAATTTTTGAAACTATTGTGACATTTTCTCTGCAAATAAATTTTTTTTTTATTTTTCCATTCATTTCAAACATTTTTTCACTAACAATTAAAAATTCCTAATTTTATTTCAATGAAAATGTTTATTTAGATGAAATAAGCAATTTAAGGGGAGACTACCATGAGTTTTTTCATGCATTAAAAATTGATTATATGTCTAAAATTGAATAATTAGTGCAAAAAAAAATTCTTTATTATTCGTTTGCCCTCAATTCTTGAGCTACAGAAGTTTTTTTTTCAAACTCACATTTTTTCAAAAATTTTGAAAAAAAAACCTCTGCAGCTTAAAAATTGTAAGCCCTGGACTATTTTCAACATTCTAAGCGTCTGCGGGGCAAACGGACAATAAACAATTAATTTTTTTGCACTAATTATTAGGTTTAAGACATATACAATCGATTTCAATCGATTTCCCGAGACTTTTAAAACTCATAGTAGTCTCCCCTTAAATAAATTAAGTCCAGTTGACAATTATTAATTACTTTATTTAGGACGCGACAATGGTTTCCAACGCCCTCGAAATTCGTCCCAAATCATAATCTCCTGAAGAGAAAACCGATCCGTCCATCTGACCTGCCAGCCTCTCCAGCCGACCTCCTGCGCCCCGACACATTCCAATTCTACACATTCGACAAATCCGGCGAGGTAATAACAAAACAAATGACCAAAAAAGAGATTCAGAGTTTAATCGCTGCTGGAGGTGGTCACCTTCCCCCAATGGCCGTGGAGATCCACGAGCCTCAAAAAGCCGGTGAAGTGCCAACAGGCGGAACAAGAGTTGCGGATGTAGTACAAAACGTGCAGAATGTACTGAAAGGTGAATTGAGCAAGCCAACACCTTTGATCTCCACAATACCAAAGATTCCTGGCCACGCAAATTCCGAATGGAGCAGCATTCTCCCCTCAATCCTCTCCGGTGACACGGAATCCATTCCCCTGAGCCCACCGGAGCCATCACAACCGCAATATCCGGATGATGAAAAAATACCGGTGTACGTGGGTCACCCGGTGTATGACGAAATAACGGAAAAGCCGATGATCCAAGTGCCAGTTATAACAGTAGAGGAGAAATTACCAATTCAAAACACTTCGAGCGGTGATCAAAGTAGTCACGAGGATGAGAGTGGAAGTAGTGGGCCAGTATTCCAAATACTGAATACAATATCAGCGGATATGGTGAGAAATGCCAGCAACAGCTTCAACGATCAGTTGACGGATGCTAGTGAATCTATCGATCGACCACACGTGAAGCCCGAAATTATTCAACTGATGAAAAACGACTCCAAGACAGTTGTGAGCGCTCACACAACTCAGAAACCGATTGACGCCACGACTGAAGAAGTCAAGCATGATGTCATCAGTGTTGTATCCGAAACCCATTCGACATCGATCAAAATCCCTGGACATGATGAGATAAAGATAGATCAGTCAAAATTACAAACTGAGAGACCTATTACTTCCACTTCTGAGGTAACTGTGCTGAAGGAGGCGATTGATCATGATAAGCCAGAACCATCGACGTCTAAACCGATCGATATTAAAGATAAATTCGAGGTGATTAAGCCGATGAAACCGGTACTGTTGAACAACGTCTTGAAGGAACCTGAGTCATACCTAACGACAGCGGAGCCTGTCGAAATAACTGAAGTCGTTTCAACGTCTGAGAAGGATGACTCCTTCACTACAGAATCTATTCCAACGACTACGGAATACAATAAATTGGAAGAGATCACAGTTCCACCGAGAGATGCTCAAGAAACCCCTTTGAACGCTTCTTTATCCAGCAGCAACACCACCGAGTTGCCTTTATTGGAAAGTACCACTGGGAAGACAGCTGAAGTGACTCAGCATGACTCAACGACTCAAGAACTAAAAACCGGTTCGACATCGATAACAACACCTTCGATATTGATGACCAGTACTGACGCCTCGCCAGAAGCAACTGTTTCAATCTCAACCGAAGGGGTTAAACTTGAAGAAGTCACTGAAATAATCAACACATCAACTGCAGAAGAACTTACTGAGAGGACAAATGAGGTGGCGATCGAGCTGACGACAGAAGTTATTTCGACAACCCCTGAGTCCTCAACTTATGCACCACCGGAGGAGACACCACTGCCTATTGAGCTGGAAGACTCGTTATCAAGCATGATTTCCCAGATTTCCGAAGCCATCATAGAACCCCTGTTGCCCACCATGAATAATTCATTGAACATCAACTCTGACGGATCAGTTTTGACTTCTGGAGATGTGAAGCGTCAGGAGATAGTCTCCAGCATAGCCCCTCCAATAGCACCGTCAACTCCGGAGCCATCACCGACTCCTGAGCTGCCCTCAACAACAATCGCAAGCACGACTTCATCTGTCAAGGCAAATGCAACATCAGATGACAGGAATTCTTTGAAGGATTCGAAACCGAAGCCATCGGTATCGACAGAAGCCACAGAAACTCCGATTGTTAGAATCGACATAATGGCACCTGTCAAGACGACAGCTTCTCCAAATTCGAATGGTTCAATGGTACCTGCGGGAGAGTCTCCAGTGGTGAGGATTCAATTAACAGATCCAGTTACGACAGTCAACCATATAATCGAGTCCCTCGCGCCTGAAAGCTACTCAGCCCCTCCAGAAATTGAAGATTTATCGCTTCCTACGAGAGGAAGCATCACTGCAAACAACATCTCCAGTAGTTTAATCGCTGGCTTCTCAAACAACGAAAAATCGAGTCAGAATGTCACGAAAATTACGGATGAAGCTGTCATCCTGGATGTAGAGAAGAAAGAAATCGAAGAGAAACTCGAGGAATCAACTGTCGAAGCAATGACCACTGAAGAATGGCAGCCGACGACGGATTACGATAAAACAATGGCGATAATGATGCAGCAGATCAACTTCGATGAACTTCCGATGTTCCATGGTCATAAGACAGCCCCTGTCCCTCAGAAAAGTGAAACAAAAGTTGAGTCTACAACGGCTGAACCCGAGTCTTCGACGATCAAATTAACCAATGAAGTGCCGAAGATTGATAAGAATTTGACGACTACATCAACAGAGGAGCCTCCATCGCCGCAAACTAACTCAGAAACGAAAGACGATAGCAAAGCTGTCGTAAGTCATCCTGAGACAACCGATTCCCAAGCAATTCCAGCAGTGAAAACCGAAGATAATTCTGATCTCTCATCAACGTCTACATTAATCCCTGCAAAGATTCAACTGGACGATCTTCCAATAGTTCACCACAGATACAACAAACCTGCATTGAGGCCAAAGCCTCCGACAAGGAAAAATATCACAGAAAGTCATGCTAAAGACGAAGGACTCGATCTGAAGCTCCCACACTTTCCATCACTGAGTGTTTACGAAGACGATCCTTACAAGAAGCTAGGAGAGACAGTAGCACCCTCTCCTCGTCCAACAACTGAGATCCCTCAAACCAACAAAACCCTGAAAATCAAGGATCAGAAGAAGGATTCAAGTATGGAGCTGATGGAGAAGCTTCCTCTGATTCCAGTAAAGCACATCTCGCAGTCTGACAAGAAGCCCCCGAAGACAACAACACCAGCTCCGCCAATCAAGAAACACGAAGACCATCATCAGGAATCAGAAAGATGGACGTTGATTCCCCAGAAATCGCCTCCAGCAACAGCTCCAAAGATCCAAGCGAAACGACCAATTGACGAGTCGATCACAGCCTCTCCTGTCCCTGAATCCACCACCCAACAACAGCAGAAACCAACCGACCAAATCCCCCTCACGCATTCGAAGACCGACGAAGCTCTTGATTCAAGCGTGAAATCCCTAGAGCCAGACATCGCCTACTTCGCAAACCTTTGCAACGATCTTGCCTTCTCATTCTGGACAGCGACTAATGAGGGCTTGAGCGCAGAAAGATCATTAGCAGTGTCTCCATTTGGAATGACGAGCATGTTAGCCATGGTATTCCTCGGTGCACGAGGTCCAACATCTGAGAAAATGAACAATCTCCTCAAGCTGGATGACGTTGCATCCTTCAATCCACACTTGATCTTCCAGAATGTAACGGATTCGGTGGGGTTGGCTCGCAAACAGGGAATAGCAAACGCAGCCTTTGTCCGGGAACTATTCGCAGACCGGGTTAAGGTCCGAAAACTACTGCCCTTTTACAAAGAGCAGGCGCAACAGTTCTACGACGGAGTCGTTGCCGAGGTGAATTTCGCGACGATCAGTGACCTAGTCAGAAGAAGGACTAATTTAATGGTGAGGAAGCAGACTGGAGGGAGGATAAAGGACTTCGTCAGAACCAATATTGTCCCCTTGACATCGCCATTAGCTGCTTTATCCGCCAACGTCTTCCAGACAGACTGCAACTCGAAGGACGCGAGTTCTGATGGTAGAGATGGAGAACTCTACTTCGCGGTTTCACCAGCAATACGACAGAGGAAGCTGGTACCGGTCCCGTCGACCGTCTGGAGAGCGGGGATTCTCGCGGGTTATGAACCCAATCTCGATGCCACGGCTATTGCTTTAGGAGGTCCGAAAAAGTTAGTATCCACGATTTTTGTTATTCCTGGACAGCAAGGATTCACAGCACCTGGGGATAACCTGGAACTCCTGGAGGAAAGACTCATCAGGGGGGCGACTCACGATGGAGTTTGGAACAAATTGCTCAAGGTTGTTATTCCAAGACCCGGCCTAGAGCTCCAAGTGCCCAAATTCAGTCATAGGAGTGTTATCAATGCCACTGCTGCGTTGAAGAGGATGGGGCTGCAGGGTTTGTTCGATAAACATGCGGATCTCAAGGGGATCAATGGAGTTGGTGCTGATCTACATTTGACGGATGTTCTACAGGTGAGTTTGTAGATCAGGGTTGCCAGATGGCACTATTACCACGTACTAGCGGTTTGGCTCCTCAAATATTTGGCAAGCCTGTTGTAGATAAATCAGAGATCAAGAGATCAACCAAAACCAAGTTGAATTCATCTTTTCGGTAAAATCATCGAATTGAACTGATGTCTAACGATTATTCTTGCAGATGAATCTGTTCAGCACCTGCGGAGACGAGAACATTCAAAGTGGAAGGCATCACGTCGAAGTTTACCCATCGAGCTCCCAGAGAAATGCCCGATCATCTCCGCAACCCAAGGCATATAAATCCAGAATCTCAGAGCCATCATCCTCGATACAGAGAGAGGATACGGACAAGCCAAGACTAAAACTAGATAGACCATTTTTGTACTTCGTTCGTCACAATCCCACCGGTTTGATCCTCCACATGGGACGCTTCAACCCTAGACTCTTACCATAATCGTGATTTATCATTGAAATAATAAAATTCATCATCGTACCCGAAGGATTTTTCAAACGTGAAAGCCTTCGCTTTAGCCGTTGAGTATTTGCAGTATAATAATCGTAACAGTACTCATCTCTCGACTGATAAACTCGGGGCCTCTTGCATATGCGTGTCGCATCAATTCAATTGTGTTTGGATTAGTATGAATATCAGACATGTGTGTTTGTGCTGTTACGTATGCATTTATTTATTCACCTTCGGTGGTGATTTATCAATACCATCAGAATTATTATCATTAAAAATTTGTGCTCAAACACATGCTAATCGATCTTGATCATCGTCCAAACGTCGAAATGTCAATTTGGGCCATGATTGATGTCAAAAATCGAGACGAAATACATCAAAATTAACATCACACGTATGATGCAGTTCTGTGGGAAATTCTGTAATTTATTCTTCAATTTCTACAAGAAAAATTCGATTTGCATTGATAAATCTACAGGTTTTTATACTTTCTATCCAAATTATTCTGTTGAAAGCCCTGGTGGATCATCTTTCGGACGTGATCTCGATTGTTTTTCCATCTTCATAATGTAAAATATATCACAATTTCCATTGGATTTTACATTACGCAGGAGTACAGTCAAAAAACGTCGAAAAAAATTGAACATTTTCAACGAGCGTTTTCAATAAAGATTAAGAAATACGCCCGATACAGAGGAAATAGTGAATGGATAATTTATCATGATAACTAAAGATCTGACAGCCATTGACTACTATGACAAATGACGACCTAACAGCCATTAGATACATCAAATTATTAATTTGCAATTTCCTCCCTATTGGCTTCATTTCCCAATATTATTCTAAAGCGCTCTTTGAAAATTTTCAACTTTTTTAGATTGTATAATCATAATTTTTGGAGACTCCAGGGCTACGTAAAACTGAATAGCAATTGGAGATCATTTCAGATTATTAAAATAAAAAAAGCAACCAACATCACGTTCGAAAGATAATCCCCCCGGGCCTGAAATTAAAAAAAAATCAGTCTTCCTACAGGAATCCTTAATACGTGCATTAATTCTTAATGAATAATCTACGTAACATAAGTCTCATCATCATAAAAAGGTAGAATCAAGTATTAATAATTAGCTGATTATTTAAAATAATGTAGAGGGTTTGTATGATTGATCGTGAATCTAAGACTCCAGAAATTGTATATAATAAAACGATACATTAACGACACTTCAAACGTATCAATGACTGTGTAATAATAATCAATTAAAGACACTATTTAATTAGAACCTGACGTGCATACAAATTATTGAATTACTTTCAATTGTGCGAGCGATTGATTGACTCCCATTGATGAATGAATTAACGCGTCATTGTTTATGAATACTAATTGTACGATATATAATCAAAGTGCGTGCAGACAGTGTGCAATAATCTTGGGATTGAAATTGCAATTCAACGAGTTGGATGTCTGGAGACTTGAGTAAGGAGTGGAACCTTATCAGTCTTATCGCAGGTGCTAACACCAGATAGGTGGAAGGTCTTTCAGTCAGCACTAAACGACTGTCCGGTCATCATTGATATTCCCCAGTGTCATTAAAAAAAAGAAAAACATCGGGTATAGTTGAAGATTTGAAAACCAATATTCACTGTTCGAGCATTTTGTCAAAAACTGCTGCCGCTGAAATGTGAATTAACAGTTTCAATGACGTTCTGCTAGAGATCAAAGATATGGCGGGGAGGTACGATGAAATAATTCGACGTTAGATGATTATCTCCAACGGCATGATAATTATCCGCGATTACTCGCACAAAAAGGAAGATTTCGGAATTGGTGGAGATATATAAACATCTTGGAGTTGAACAGGAATCACAAACATATGGTTTGATAATCCCATAATTATTAATTTATTGAGTTTAGATGACAGAAGAGTGATTTAATTTAAGAAAAATGAGAGAGAAAAATGCTTCTGGGTCATTTGTATAGTCTTATCTCTTCACACGTAGTTTTTAGATACGTTCACGAGAAGTTTGACTGATAAATTGAATTTCCAACCAACTGGTGGCACTAGAACGACAGCCGAGATTACCGATGTTTATCATAAAAGCCTTGACATGACAGAAGTTGAATGTCATCGTATTTTTCATCAACATCTGAAATTGATGAGCAAAATCCGTGACGATTGTGTCGGCTTGCTTTTTTCCTCTTAGGAATATTTGTATATTCAAAGATGTGATAAGTACATTTTAAAAAATTTCCCCAGTATTTCGTATTGTTCCAAGTCTTTATCACATTGCACGTTTAGAGATAAGACGGTGATTGTAAAGATAATGTTAATTGCGGTGATTATGGAGTATATTCACCCGGATACCAACTACGTCATGATTTTTACATTCGCATAAGATTCGATTCACGCAAATCTCCATTTTTCGCTATTTTCAGCTTCATAACATTCGCATTTAAAGTATTCCATGTCAGATGAGTTAAGGGCTGATCCTCACCCTCTTGGAAATTGTTTTTGATTTTTTCCACGATTGGGGGGAAGAAAAACTATTTCTCAATTTTTTTTCAGATTTTTTGGCCAACTCATTTCAGAGGTATTAGTATATTTCGTAACGAGTGCAAAAAAGTCGGCGAGTGGGAGGTTTATATCACGAGCCGAAGGCGAGTGATATAATCCCACGAGCTAAAAAACATTTTTTTACAAGTTACGAACAAAATTTTTCATCACAATGTGGCGGAAATTGGACTTTTTTTTCAAATCACTTTTCGTCACACCGTGATGAAATTTTTTTTTGTTTTTCCATTTGTTTTTTTCAATAACTTCGGTTCTATTCACCCGATTTTGATTTATGATACGTCAAAATTTTCTATTTTTTACAACAATAAGAATATTTAGCGCGATTCTTTTTTCAACCTCTAGATGCTCATAATACCGCATTGTAACTCTTATAATGAGAATAAATATTTTGAGCTTTCATCCAATTTGGGTTTCGTCCTAGATCTATTTTATTTTCAATTTTTTCTTCTCGAAATTCCACGACCTTGGTCAAAATACCACAAAATGGCGTTGATTGACTTTGATTATAAACAGTATAAAATGATTTTAAATGTATACTTATATGTTACATATTTATTTGATACATAACCGAAGTCGTTTTGGAGTGTTTTGACCAAATTCACGGAATTTCGAAAAGAAAAAATTGCAAATAAAATAGATCCAGGATGAAACCCAACTTGTATGATGGCTCAAAATACTTGTTTTCATTAGAAGAGTTACTGAAAAAAAATGAGAAAAATAAAGGACGCCATAATTTTGAAAATTCAAGTTTTTCCTTTTTTTTTCAATTCGGCATTATGAGCACTTGGGGGTTGAAAAAAAAAATTCCCAAAATCTTGACGCGTCATAAATAAAAATCGGTTGAATAGAACCCGAGTTATTGGAAAAAGTAAAAAACAAAGAAAAAATATGGAAAAAATTGAGAGATAGTTTTTCTAGCCCCCCAATCGTAGAAAAAATCGAGCTCAATTTCCAAGAGGGTGAAAGTCAGCCGTTGACTCATTTGGCATGGCATACCTGATTTACAATTATCCAAAATGATTGATTGCTCTTCTGTCAACGATTACAACTGTTCAATCAGACGAATGAATAATATATTTATCATTCTCCCGAATTGATCCCCTGGAATGACAGATCGCAGTATCCAATAACTGAAATATTCGAAAAGAAGATACTTAAACTGAGTAAGAAAAAAAAATATCATAAATGCCAGTATCGTTTTCATTGCGCCACGCGTATCTGGCAACCGAACCAGATCCCAGAATGATGCGGAATCCGATTGATCTGTATGTCGTAGCAGGATCGCCTCCACTACCACGCCGTGTACGTTCATTTTTTTTCTTCTTTCAACCCAAACTAACAGACAAATATTCACTCGATCATTCCCATTCACGAAGAGATCATAAACGGCACTGACTAACGCTAGCATCTGCGCTTCTGATTTAATCGATCGTTAAACTTCTGATGTCTCTCCAGTATGAATACCTTTGAACTAATAAACCCATTGAAATTACTCCAGTAACTCTCTTTTCAATTACAGAGACATTGAAGCATCGTCTTTCCAAGTTGGTTGCTTACATTATACAAGTGCCCGCGATGGATGATACTGTTAGCCCATTTGATTACCGAGTACGTCATCTCGACTTTACCAACACTCACTCACGCAAGAAAAAATGTCTTAAGGCCCCACATACACCGAGGGGGCACCCTAACAAATCGATTTTCAAGATGTTTTCAAAAAGAAATGATAAACTTATCAAGAAAAACTTAAATTTTCTTCGAAGATCACACATTCAAGAATATTTACAAAAAAATATATTCATATGGTTCATCAATATTTCCATTTTCCGAGCCGCAGAAGACCCACTGCCATTGTTGTGCCAACAATAAAAACACTTTTTTTCACTTGAAATTAAAAAGTGAATGACAATCAGTAAATAATGTAAATTGAAGTTGACGATAACGACCCAAGAAATTTTTTTAATTATTTTGTTACGAATAGAAAGCGCTTGCAAAGGTTCTGGTGTCATTCCGATTCAAAATAGCAGAAGTTTTTCTACGATAAAAATAGCACTTTAAGGAAAAATGAGAAAAAAAGGTCGCTATCAGCAAAGAAATGATATAACGAATTCATTATGATGAATTTCATGAGGATAGGCCCACTGGTATTGCAAATATTCTTGGCACCGTTCCGAAAAGCCTAATTCGGAGAAGACGGGGGTTAAAGTTTCCACACACTGAGAGAAAAACGACAAAGTTCTCAAACAAGTCTCACTTGTCCAAGAAAATATTTTTTTGAAAATTATCAAAAAAGGATTTTTTTTGTGCCAAACATGCAGAGAGTGTGCCGGAATGAAAAATTTTTGTCGCAAAAATTGATTTACACTGAGAAAAAAAAAATTCTAAGAAATAGAAATTCTATGATTGATCGAAATGGTTCATCGATTGAATAGTTACAAAAGAAAATGCTATTGTAAAACAAATTCTTTTTTGAGAATTTTCAACTAGCCATTTTGTTGGCCCAAACAAGACTTGTTTGACAACATGTTTGTTTTTCTCTCAGTGTACTCTTTTGTGCGCGCAAATCGTGAGCACAGTGCCAACTGCCGTTTTGTCTTGCGCGTTTGGCATTCTAATTTCATTTACCGATTGAAGTAAATAAATTGCTTTCTTTCATCAAGTGTTTACCACATTAAACGTATTAATGAAATGACAAAAATATGACGTGGACAACTCAGGCCCATTTAGTCCTACGCAACAGGACGCACCCGCCGTTTAATATATTTTCCAAGGATATTTTTGAAAGATAATACAATCAAATGAACGTATTTTTGAAAAATCGATTTTTTACATCCACCTAGGTGTATGTGGGGCCTTAAATTGTGACCCTTTTGTCCCATTTTTCAGGACGTTTCTCCAAAAACGCCTCAAAAAGTAGGAGAAATGTCTCAATTTAAGATACACTATTTTTTCGTGGGTGTTCCCCATCCCCGAATACTAAAACCGACAGCTAATATGATCATAAAAAGACATTAAAACCGATCTCTACTGCTGTACTACCACGATAACCCATGATTACGACTGGATAACACTGAAATCTCGAGTTTAATCTAGATAAATATTGAATTAAAAACTGTAAAAAATGTTATTGGCCTTTCGCCAATAAAACTGACACAATGAATTTAACGTTGAAATGACATCTAGGAAAGCGAATGCTCAGGACGATCCTTAGCAACACTGCTGGTGGCATGGGTGAGTGCGGCAATGGTCGCCTCAGTTCTTTTGCGATGGAAGTACATGTGGATAGCGTTAGCTGTGTTGACACTGCTCTTTCTAATCGCCTGCGGATACGCAGCCTTCACAACGCGAAGAAATCTACAGCGTGATATACTAACAGATGATCCGTACTTTGATCAAAGAAGAAGGGAAATAAATACGGTATCGGGGGACCTAGCATCATGCGGTGAGGTCAGTAGTTCACGATTCCACCTCAATTGAGGATATCCAAGTACTTTGGGTTTTTTTCTCCAGTGAAATGCTTTTTTACTTTTGTACACGAATATCAGAGTTTTCATTTGAGCCCCATTGGACCCTAAGTTCCCGAACACTTTACAATGGTTTTATTATTTAAACATTGCAAATCTGAATTTGAATCTTGATATTGCATCGTTAGAAAACATTTTAAAAATCTGAGAAAAAATGAGAATTTACTGCTAGAGGAAGATTGATGAAATAATTTAAAAATTGCAATTTTTGAAAATTACAAGTATTTTCTACAAATAATTTATAAACAATCAATTTTTCACCATAAAAATCATGTGCTCGGAATCCTAATAATTTTATTAGTATTCAGAATTTTACCAGAAATCGATTTCATGTCTAAAAAAATAAGGTTTCCGAAAATTTAAACAATTTCAATATTTACATATAAACAACAAATATTGAAAAAAATAATAATTCTGTGCAAAATGTAATTTTAATGACGGAGAATATTCATTCTGTGTGTCAAATTCTTCTCACGCGGTTTAATTGACAAATGTTGATATTGAATAGTTAGAAAACATTTTAAAAATCTGAATGAAAATTGGAAACTTTACTTACGGAGAAAGATCAATTTTCCACCATAAAAATCATTAGATACTTGGATATCCTTAAAGCGATTTTCCCATAATTATCACGCATTTGTTACTGTTCTAGAGAGTGGAGCCACCGGCCTACCATAACTATTGGATAACAGATTTACCACCACCCTACGCTGTTGTGATTGGCGCAGAGCCTCCCCCTACTCCAGTTGAAGAGAGAGTCCAGTCGCAAGGACCAAGACTATCAAATCCGCCACCTTATTCAGTAGCTGTACAGCAGGATCACGCAACAACTCCACCTGTGGATCAATCACTACCAACGCCAATTTCCCACGCCAATTCCAGAGATGCAACGACTGCAATAGCTATTAATGATGACAAAGACACATCTGAACAGTCAAGGGGGGGTCACAGTCATGTATTACCTGGTACACAGTATTTAAGTAACTTCATAAGTACTCGGTTTGGCCGGGGCAGGTCTAGGAATCTCGAGCAATATTCCACTCAGAGTTCGCAGAGGGATGGGGGGTGTCAACGTAATCAGGGGAATCAAGATATATCTGGGAGTTCATCCAGACTGGATAATGCCTTTTAGACTCAGTTCTTCATTCTGGCAATGATGATTAATCCAGTTCATGCATTGTGTCAATATGTTCAAGTCTCCAAGACATACGAATCCGGATCTTCAGGATCATTATCAGGATTTTGATAAGCACAACTCAAATTAAATAAACCATTTTTGTACTTCATACGTCACAATACCACTGGCCTCATCGTACCCTTCAATCCGAGACTTTTGTCGTACTCAATGTTCATATGTGATTTTTCATTGGAAAAATAAATTCATTTTTACGCTTAAACAGTGGATTTTTTGTACGAAAACTTCTTTTTAGTTGTGGAGTAAATTTCTCATCTTTACAATCTGATAAACTGGAGCCTCTTGCAGCAGAATCTCCCTTGGAGTTCAGAGAGATGGAGGTGTTCAATGTAGTAAGGGGAATCCAGATATATCTGGGAGTTCATCCAGACTGGATAATGCCTTTTAGACTCTGTTCTTCATTCTGGCATTGATGATTTATTCAGTTCATCCAGGGAGTTCATCCAGGCTGGATCATATCTTTTAGACTCAGTTCTTCATTCTGGCATTAATGATTTATCCAGTTCATGCATTACGTCAATATGTTCAAGTCTCCAAGACATACGAATCCGGATCTTCAGAATCATTATCAGGATTTTAATAAGCACAACTCAACCTAGATAGACCATTTTTATACTTCATACGTCACAATACCGCTGGCCTCATCGTACTAATGAAACTCTTCAATCCCAGACTTTTGTCGTACTCAATGTTCGTATGTGATTTTTCATTGGAAAAATAAATTCATTTTCACGCACAAACAGTGGAATTTTTTTGTGCGAAAGTCTCTTTTTAGTCGTTCATTAAATTCCTCATTTTTCCAAGCTGATAAACTGAAGCCCCTTGCATATGAATATCGCATATATTGACTTGTGTTTGAATAACAATTAATATGAGAAATTACTCATACACTGAGTCGTGCGAAACTGAAAACTGCAATGAACCCGTTAGAGGCCAGAGTGCGAAATCGTATCGGTGAGGAGATAGTAGGGGGCCTGTCTCTGTATTGATGCGCCATAAGGGAAACACGACAGCGCACCCTCACCAATACAAAATGGCGAAGAGTGGGGTGCGCCGTAGTGGTGGAACGTGTTGATAATCTGCACGGCATTACTTTATTATTTTTAATCGTAGAATTAAGTACTAATTTTTCCCCAGTGTCTAAGAGCACCAATGATTGCCTAGAGAAGTTATATGATTGAGGATTTCTGTCATATCCTCGACAATTTTCATTTCAACGGTTCCTCAATCCCATCGCAATAGTTGAGAGCCGAGATAATGGGCAGAGAGGTTGAAGAATCAATGGATAATCCAGAACGACCAATGGTTTGTCATTACTAATTTAATTTGATTATCCCTCAATTGAATAAAAATAACGAGGAATTGATTTTATTCATGAGAATTCATTTCATAATGACAAACAAAAATGAGGAATTGCGATCAATTTCTAGGCAATCTGTCAAGTTTCTCACCTATTCCTTCGCATTTAAACACGTCACGAGAATTCAATTCATCAAAATGAAATTTCGAACGGATGCAAACTGTTTACACCTGATGGATTACCTGAATATTTCTCATAAACCCCTTCATTCACCGTGAATGGCCTTGAATATTGAGGTATTCTATTTATATTGATGTTAATGAATTTTCCCTCTCGATGAATTCGCATATTCGCACACCTCCCGTATCTACTTCTTCAAAAGAGAATTCACACACTATTTCATGCACCTCCAAGTATTTACCTTCCCCTCTCACGTAATGTTAATTGTAATGATCGTGTGCAACTGAATATTACCCGCGTGAGGATCATTACCCTTACACTTTCAATATATCACGAAATATCAATTCCCAGCCAATTGAATTAATTTGTAAAAATAATTAATTACTCTCCTGTCGATCATTACATAATCCATTCGATCTGGTGAGTTAATAATAGTGGCTAGTGCGGCAAAATGAACACGGATTTTTTTAAATCTTAATAACTCATTGAGTTTTCAATCAAATGGGATAATTTTTCTTATTTGAAAAGTATCATTCTTCTCCTCTGCGATGACCCTAGACTTAATTCAATCGACCAATTTGTGTTCTAGCTGTGAAAATTGAGAGAAAAGTGAAGTTTCTGTTGTGATCCATCCTCCCCTATTTGCGCACCCAACAACTGATTTTTTAAAAGAGAATGAACTGAGGAAATAGACTAAATCTCCCTCACAACTCTTTTAGACCCTGAACAGTGAGAAGAAAAATTATTTTTGCCAAATGTTCTTTTATTCGAGAGAAGCATTTATTTTTTCAAAATCGTATCTCTCTAATCGAGTCATTCCTGGGCGAGCCTGAGTAGGCTTCAATATCCTGTGATGTCACAAGATGTGAAACGCTATGTGAAGTCCCGTCTTTAATGATAATCACGGCAAATAACGCATGTGGACGAACGGCGGTAATTCGTCCATTCAGCCAATTTTTCATAATTCACTGCGACTATGTCACCGCGAGAAATTAATAACTCAAGAAGAAATAATTGATATTCACCGTAAGATCTTATTGATTTGAAATTGCTTCAAGTATATAATACTTGTACCAAGAAAGAAACATCTCAATAAAAATATTTTTTTTCACCACTGTACTATTGTTTCTCAGTGAATAACAATATGATGATTTTTCGTCGAAACAAAATGCAGGGACCCGGAAGTCGCTGTGAATTTTCGCCTCCCCCAGCGATAAATGTCTTCTGGTCGATCCTGATATTGGCATTTTTGTTTGTGGGATTGGTCTGTTCAAGCATCTACCAGTGGATACCCGGTATGGTGACACTGGGTGTCACACTAGGATCAATGGTAGTTTTCTTCATATTCGCCGCCTGCGCTGCACAAGTAGACCTTTACAACAAAGCTAAGGTACGAGCTGCGAAGGAGCAAGCGGAAAGAGAAAAACCTGAAATGGAACAAGCTAATACTGTCAACTCAACGCATCAGGCATTTTCGGAAGAACCAAGAACGGAGATACCGATAGAAATACAGTTGGAATCTGAGCGAGGATTAGTCAGGAAATTTTGTTTTTTATGAAGGTGTCGGTATTACGCGAATTCACTGCAATGAAACCAGCACATGCGTATCACTATAATTACTCTTTTTCCAGGGAGAGGAAGCATCAGTCCCTCGAGGACTCCAGCAGAAGGGGAGGAGGGAAAAGTATAGTGAGAATTGTCTCAAGATAATTTTTATCAAACATTTCTCGCTGTATTGCTTTACGGAAGAATTCCGCAAAGACTTTTCCACTGGACCAATGACTACCTCAGCTAATTTTCCAAGTCAACCCCAGAGATATGAAGACTGCCATAGCTATTAATGACTACAACGATACACCTGAAACGATCGGAATGGTCAAAGTCAAGTACCTGACACACAGTATGTTTAAGTATTTTCATAAGTGTTCAGTCTGTTTTGAATCAAGGAGGTCGAGACGATCTGGTAATCGATCTAGACTTAATCGAAATGTTGTAACTGATTTGAATGTTCAATTTATCAATCGAGTGCTCTAGATTCGATCATCAAAGGAAAAAAACTACTGGGAAAAATTAGAAAATGGACCCAATTTCCGGTTCTCATCCATCCAATTTTCATCTGTTTGAATTAACTTGTTAAAAGAGTGTTGATCTACACGAAGAAACATGTTCTAGGCACCATAATAATTTTTTCAATAATTTTTCTGGTGTAGCATGACAAATATTCTGAGGCTAGCACATGAATTTTTCTAGAAAATTTTTCCCAGTGTTAATTTATGATTATTACTGAAGTTCTATCACTTTGTATTTGAAGATGAAATTCAAATGTTGGATGTATCCGGCATAGAGTTTCTGAACATTAATCAAAAAAAAATCAATATTCTTCAACATTTGTTAACAAAATTCAAAAAAATAAATCCAGCGCTTTCATTGAATTTACAGTCTATTCATTCTAGTTGGTAAAAGGTTTATTTTTTAAAAGCACGAATTGCTAAAAATTCGATTTTCTGTTTTATTAATTAACGAGAATTAATTTTAAAAAACTTTTTTAAATGAGAAAGTGGAAAAATTATATGTATATATATATAAAATAAATTTATATATATAAATATATTCATTGGAATTTTACACAAAATTTATATGAGATTGAAAATCCATTTAACGAATCCATTCAGCGCCCAGAGTGCGAAATTGTATCAGTGAGCGGAAAGGAGGGGAGTTATCGCTGTATTGGTGCGTCATAAGGGAAATGCAGCAGCGCACTCTCACAAATATAAAATGGCGAAGAGTGGGGTCCCACGTGTGTTGTGCAAAGTGTTAAACATCCGAAAAATAGTAGTATTATCATTATAACGTAGAGACACAAGTACTAATTATTATTTCCACATTAAGATAATTAATAATGACGTAGAGGCGCTGTATATGGTGGGGTCTACTACGTCATTCAAGAGAATATTTAACCTTGTCAACCGATCAGTCCCATTCCAGTAGCCGAAGACTGGAACAATAATCAACAATCGATGGATAACCTAACGCAACAGGTTTGTCATCAATCATTTGCGCTAAGTATTTCTCATCTTTCTGTTAAAATAGCAAAAGGGTAATGTTATCTGTGAGAGTAAAAAAATGAAGAAATGGGGGAGTTTCTTTGTCATCTTTCAAGTTTTTCAACTTTCACAGTGTAGAGCCGCCATAAGAATTCGATTCATCAATGGAATTTTTAACGTCTACTCAATAGAGTCGTGAAGGTAGTTGTATTTGAGTGGAAAATCGAATCATTTTTAATATTTTTTTAAATGAGAAAGTTAACAATTAAATTTTCGATGATCATACGTAAAATTTTTCATTACTTTCTTTGTCTTTAAATTAATTAGTACCAATGATCTGAAAATGTAAACGAATATGAAGATTTTACATCCCTTTGATCTCATTTCAATGGAACCGAAGAAGAAAATTGCAAAAAGAGATTCATCATCATCAATCAGTGTCAATAAAATGAAAAAATCTATATTTCTGTCTTTTCGAAATTTTTCAAATAACATTTTCAATTTCTGTGATCGTATTGCGTTCAGAGTGAATAGGGAAAGTGTAGTGAAAAACCCCAAATAAATTAAAAAATTGATTGTTGAATGTCTAGGAAATTTTTTTAAAATTGATATATTTTTTCGAATAATGAACCAATACCCATAAATTCAATTCTCACCCTCACATTTTCATAGAATACATTTAAAAATAGCAAAAAATTTAAATCGGCGACGAAAACTTTTCCGATTATTATTACGCAATGTAATATAATAATAATAATGAATTTTCTCTCTGAATAAAAAAAAAGACTGATTTTTGTTAAAAGACGAACTTAAAATATAGCAAAGGATCCATCTCCAAGTGGTCTCTACTCACTAAATGATAAAATTTCGACTTCTTCATTTCCCCGATAATCCATGATCCTAATTAGATAACAATAAATTTATGTCTATGTAGGAGCGCGCCCGCGCTGGGAGATATTGGATGCTTACACTGATACTGCTAATAATAGGGGTGTTCGTGGTGCTGATCATCTCAGCCGTATTCGTATGGATACCCGGAATATTCATATCGCTTTTAACAATTATAGTTTTTGTAAGCCTATGGGCGTTCATCTGGACCTCAAAAGAGAATCCAGAGTGTCAGCCTTCACATGTTGCAACATCTACAGATGCACCAAGAACCATAGTGCAGAGAACAACTGAAGTATCAAGAACGCAGTTACCAAGAACAGAAATTCCAATGGATATACGACGAGAATGGTCGCGAGATCAAGACAGTTCTCTGGCTTCTCGTCAAAATGTCAGTACCCCACGATCCCATCCCGATCAAATCAACACGATATATATTCCCACAATGAACATTTTGTTTCTATTCCAGGGAGCGGTAGCCTCAGCCCCGCCAGAATCACGGCCGACAGATCCACCACCTTCCTATGCAACAGTGGTTGGAGCAGAGAATGGTTTACTAGAAGGAGGTATTCAACCACCAGGCTGGAGATTAGCAAGCTTACTAGACGCAGTAGAAACCATTGTAGAAATATACGACAATATAAACGACAATATAAACGACGATTCATAGGATCAATCACTGCCATCACTAATTTCCCACATCACAGAGATGCAAAGACTGCAATAATTATTGATAATGCGAAGACAGGACTCAATATTCATCCGTCATATGTCATTTAAAGAATAATTTTACTTTTTGAATTGTCACTCATCAATGCAAAGACATGACTCAATGTTCATCCGTGATCTGTTATGGAAAGAATAAATTTAATACCAGAAGAATTCCACAATGACTTCTCTATAGGATCAATCACTACCATAACCCATTTCCCATATCAATCCTGAAGATGTAAAGACATGTTCTATGTTGGCCGTTCAACTTCTAGGTTTTACGGGCCGCTGTCCCTTTTAATCGGCACATTCTGTTTATTAAAAGGTAGATAATATAGAAAAAATGGGCTGTTGTCCCTCTTAATTAGGATGTTTTCTTCGATAGTGGGAGTCGATTGTAAAGATTATAAAATAGAAACAGTCAACGGATTTTGAATTTCTGTTGAAAATTTTCTCTTGATATTCTTTCTATTAGAATTATTGGGCACAAATTTTCTATTTTTTTTCTGCTAGATTTTGTTTCATTTTGCATTAGAGAAGCCGAGTGAAAAAAACTTGGAAAATTGACTCCCAAGCATTCTTATAGAAAAATCTCAAAAGAAAATTCCAAACAGAAATTCGAAATCTATTGACTTTTTCTTATCGAATATCCAATAGAATTAGCGCAAAAAAATAGAATTTTTCATTAGAATTCCAATAAAAATCCTCTAGAAAAGTCATAGAATTCCTATAGAATTGTCTAGAGAATTCGTTAGGTTTTCAACGAATTTTTTCACGCGTGAGCCCATTAGCTTAGTAGCTATACAGAATTATTGAACGAATTCTTTATATGATCAATCACTGCCCCTACCAATTTCGCTATTGATGACGTCAAAGGCACCTGAAGTCCTCAATGCCAGATTTTACAACAATCATCATGCCTCAATTTTCCACTCAAACATTCTAATAATTAATCCAGTTCGTAACAGCTCCCTCCCTCAACGATTATATAAAATATGCAGGACTGTTGAATACTAAATTATCCCATATTTTCATTGAAATAAAAACAAGAACACATATGAATTATATATAACCCATTGAACTCTGATAAAAAAAAAATAAGCTGGAAAAATGCTCTCTATGCCCCGAGGAATTCACTCCAGCTATATTACATTGTGCAATAGTGTCCTGAGGCTAGGTGACATCGAGAGAGAACACGATTTCCAACTGGACCGAACAGTCCTCAACAGTCGTTGGCAATTGTTAAATTCATATCACTCATACCAGCAATAAAACTTGTATTTTTTTTCCACGACCTCTAGTTTTTCTTAATTCCCACCGGTCTCATTAAGATCTAATAGATTGAATATACCTATCAATATTCATGGCTCAAGGTGTCCACACACAACTATAAAAATGATGATAAATTGGTGGGGAAATTGTGGAAAAAGCTTAATATGCTCAGGGCGTTTGTTTCAGGGGACAGAGTAAACTACCAGTGATCGTTACCACGCCTATTTTTATCATTTTTTTTTTACTTCGCTATTCACCGGTCAACTACCGCGGTAGATCACTCATGAGGACCTTTTGTGGTATAAATACCTCGCCGTTTATGCTGGATCGTTCAGTGTGTAAACTGAGATCCTTTGGAGAAGTTATTCCCACTGTTATTTCGGTTGAGTATCTGTGATTCATCATGATGCTGAAGGTAATGTGGGCTATATCTAAACCCTTCGCGATATCTAATCAATGAAATGTGACGTTTCTTTGATTTTTTTGGGAAATTAATTGAATTTTGATGGTGAGTTTTTTTATCTCGGGAAATTGTCGTTTTATGAAAAAATATGTTTATACCTCTTTTATTTTCAAATTTTTTTTTTTAAAGAGATTGGAAATGTCTTTTTTGTTTCTTACACTTTGTAAAATCCTCGGGGAAGAAAAGAGAAAATGTCAAAGACAGATTTGAAGGGAATTGTTTGTTCTGAAAGAGGAGACAATTCCCCTAAAATTACTTATTGTCGAGGTATTGCGATATTGTTAAAAAATTTCTAAAACTCATTCTATGGATGATTGATTCTAAGAAATTAGAAAAGAATGGAAAAATAGAAAGATGGAAGGGCGCGACATTCTTCAAGTTGAGCATGTCATGTTGAATGACAATATACTTCTCTATAAAATTGATTTTTCCCTAAAATTACTTGTTATCGATTTCCCATTCAAAATTTAATTCCCCAAAAATCTACAAACTATTTCCTCATTAAAATATTAAACCGAGACTAGCGGAATATTCGCCGATGGAAAATTCAATATAGACGATTTTTGAAAGTTTTAAAATATTTGACTTCATATTTAAACACCTCTAGATTCGCCTAAATCGAATCTTCCGCTGGCGAATCATTCACCAACCCATGTTCATTATTTATAAATGAAATAGACAAAATGCGCCAAATGTATGCGCTGACATGCGCTTATACAGGATAGAATCATTCAAATATTTCCTCTTTTTCAAATATTTCCCCCCGGGTACCCCAGATTTTTCTCTGAACATTGGATTCAGTATAATTTAACACATTACCTTCTATTTTTATTTCTATTCTTAGAGTCTTCTAGTAGGTGAATTATCAATTTGAACTGAAATTTCATAAAATCCCATGTATAAGGAAAAATTAGTTTATTCATTTCTGCCGAGACTATTGCGATTTTTTTTAACGTTTAGAAAATTTAGTTTTATATGTTCTGCTGTCGCCGAAAAAATTACAGAATTTTCTTTGACCATGAAAAAAAACCCATTCACCGACAATTTACCGAGACTGGCTAAAGATCCTTAATAACACTGATGTTGTTCTAAAATGACTTGTTATCGATTTCCCATTAATCAAACTTCAATTCCCCAAAAAATCTCTATTCACTCATGAAAAAGTGATCATTGGTGTAAATATACCGACTTTTGAATCGCCAACACCAAAAATTGTTGAGAGGAATCGAAAAATCACTTCGAAAAATAAACTCCCTGTTTCCATCCAGATATTAACGTACGCGAGTTTCATCGTAGCAGCGAACGCCTACCTGAGCCATCAGCTTCCAGGACCAATTCCCCACTCTCCCTACTACAATCACAATGCACTGGCCAGTCATTACGGATATCACGGAGGCTATCTCGGTAGCAACTACAACCACATTCTCCCGCATCCCGCGCCCGCAGCGAATCCCTGGCTAGTTTCCCCAGGAGTTCACGCCAACAACGTGAACCCCCATCAGTACCTGCACGGAGGACTGGTCCGACCGCACGCAGCGGTCCCGAATTACGCACACTCGACGGCCCTAGCTCCAGCCCAACCCGTTGCCCACAACAATCACGTTGTACCACCGTCTGTGCAAGTGGTGAATCAACCGGCACCGGTGCGCCCCATAAACTATCAACATCGGCCCGTCATTCCTCCAGTTTTCTCCCATCACACGAGCATGTTTGAACACAATGGCTATCAAAATCACGGCAACTGGGCCTGGTAAATCCCTCGCCTCCACATAATCATCGAGATTTTGTATTTAAATACGTGGTATCGCATAGGTTTTAATTGTTATTATGAAATTTAATAAATTTTATTAACTCACAGGACTGTTGTTGGGTATGATTATCTCCTTGAACCCCTTTCACTTGTGAATATTTTTAATAAGTACGTAGGACTGATACACCTACTTCAATCGGAATCGAAATCGAAATTGGAGAAGAGATTTCGAAATTTTTGTTGATGGGGAAATTAAATTTGAGAATTTTAGGGGAAAATTTTGAAAAAAATTTTTGCAGCTGCAGAAATTTTCGACAAAAAAGGGCTTTCGACTCATTATCGATTTTTAATTTTGGAATTAAATACGTGGTATCGCATAGATTTTAATTGTTATTGTGAAATTTAATAAATTTTATCAACTCACAGGACTGTTGTTGGGTATGATTATCTCCTTGAACCCGTTTCACTTGTGAATATTTTTAATAAGTACATAGGACTGATACACCTACTTCAATTGAAATCGAAATTGGAGAAGAGATTTCGAAATTTTTGTTGATGGGGAAATTAAATTTGAGAATTTTAGGGGAAAATTTTGAAAAAAATTTTTGCAGCTGCAGAAATTTTCGACAAAAAAGGGCTTTCGACTCATTATCGATTTTTAATTTTGGAATTAAATACGTGGTATCGCATAGATTTTAATTGTTATTGTGAAATTTAATAAATTTTATCAACTCACAGGACTGTTGTTGGGTATGATTATTTCCTTGAATCCCTTTCACTTGCAAATATTTTTAATAAGTACATAGGACTGATACACCTACTTCAATCGAAATCGAAATTGAAGAAGAGATTTCGAAATTTTTGTTGATGGGGAAATTTAACTTGAGAATTTTAGGGGAAAAGTTTGAAAATTAGTTCTGCAGCTGCGGCAATTGTCAACAAAAAAGGGGTTTCGACTCATGACCAATTTGTAATTTTGCAATTAAATATGTGGTATCCTATAGGTGTTAATTGTTATTGTGAAATTTAATAAATTTCATCAACTCACCAGACTGTTGTTGTTGTTGTTGGGTATGATTATCTCCGTGAACACTTTCCCTGGCACACATTTTTGATAATCACACAGCACTGATACACGCACTTGAGTGGAAATCAAATTGGTACAGAAGAGATTTCGAAATTTTCATTAATTGAGAATTTAAATTTGCGAATTTTAGAGGAAAATTCCGAAAGAGATTTTTACAGCTGCGGAAATTTTGGACAAAAGAGGGCTTTCGATATTCTACAGCAGAAGCACTCATTATCGAAACAATTGAAAGTCAAGGAGATGACTTTCAATTTACTTGAGTGTTTGATAAATTTAAATTAATAATAAATTACATTAATAATAACGATAAAATTGAATTTACTCGAAATTTCTGTTGTATGTGATTTTTCTCAGAAACTAATGATTAAAAAAAAAACAGTTTTGGAATTTACTCATAAAACTCCATTATTAATATAATTAATTCAATATCAACGAGATGTAAAAATCGACCGATCTCTTCTGTTCCGTTTCACCACTTCCGTCCCGAATTAAATTACCTACATCCACTGAACGACTAATTAACACACTTCTCCACTTCAACAACAACCAGTTCTCGACGATGAACCGTTGCATTCGAATCACACATCTTCAGCTCAACAAAAGCCCCACCTAGAACAAAAAAAGCAGTGTTTCAATTTCAATTTTCGTTGAATGAATCTCGTAAAAAAATTGCTAAGAAAGAAAAGAGTGGACTCTCTCACAACAGAGATGTCAGACAAGATGCGAATGTTTTTTGGGGCCCGAGCGCCCGAGTGGAAGAGCGCATCACGAAATATAGTGCAGATGATTCAAAGGATGCTTTTCCAACCAGGGGAGACTCCTAGACTCCACGGGACAATGTCACAACTCTGGTTTCAGAGTTGGAAACCAAAATCATCCATAGGAGCATTTGCACGCCACTCTCGACCCGCTCTTGCAGTCGGGCCTCAAAAAACATTCATATCTTGTCTGACATCTCTGACAGAGATCCCCAATCACAATCCCCACCCCAAGGGCCCCCAACTCATTACAAACAAAATAAAATTCTACAAAACATACCCACCAAAACCCCAAATGAACAATTGTCATCCTCAATCAAATAACTTCCCTGTCCGCGAATCTACTGACCCCCAAACCAATAACCCCATTACAACAATAACTGAAGACCCTCCCAAATCATAAAAATCAACCCACTCAACCCCAAAAATCCAGCAAAGTCCCCCCAAAATTCCCCTCCCGAACCCCATTTCCCAAATCCCAACGTTCCCTCTCATTCAAAACAACCAAGAACCCCATCCCGTCGGCTTGGCCCCCATCGAGACCTGCGCAATCCCGCACCGCAGTCACTAACACAACCTCACAATTATCGACAACAATGCGCACACGTTTGTCCCCCCGATAACACACAAACACTCGAAATATCCCCTCAACATTCACCAGTCCCTCACTCGCCGGACGGACTGCGCACACTGAGCGACATTCGTCGCACGATGGCGCAACATGTTGGCCGAACGCTCAAACCGGCTACCCTAATTCTCATTATTTTCACATATTTCCACGTAACCACGGGCATAAACATTACCCCAAGGACTCCCCAATTCGTTCCCAAAATCACTTCGATAAAACAAATTCCAAGTGATAAATTATCAAACTCAAGTGATACCACCGAATCATCGGTAACAAGTGATAACAAACTAGTGCTAGTGACTGGTCAACACCTCGCGAATCTCAATAACTTTCACTGGTCAAACGATGAAAATACCTGCAACAATGACAGCAACCCCCTGACCCTAGTGGACTTGCGAACTTCACCGAAAGGACGTGACATTGCGACATACAAATTATCATCCAACGATAAATTTGAGGTTACAAGTGTCTATTTCTGTGTGGGAAGTGTCGACGAGTCCCATACGACGTCATGGACTAATCTTGGCAGCGAATTTTCCCTCAAAATGTGAGTTCTTTATTTATAAAATTCTATTTTTCAATTTCATTTTCACCAGTCATTTTGCTTAATTATCATTCGTTGCACAATTGTGTGATTCGTTTTTCCTCGTTCCCAGGTGACGAGTCACCAGGTAATTGCTCATTTTCTCTTTTCTTTGTTATTTTTATTCATGGGAGAGGGTAAAACCAACTCCATTCAATCGTTAATAACTGGGGATTCGCAGAGTGAAACTGATTAATTTTTTTTTTCCTTTCAAAGTGATTTTTTAAACTTCAAAATGAGAGCGGTTTCATCCGAATGGAATCGTTGGGTCCGGAGATATCGATGATTCAAGAGGACTCCTCCACCTCAGATTTCTCCGTTCCTTTCTTTGTTTTATTTCTCATCTGATAATAAGCATTGATAGGGAATTTCATCGCACAGCGGAGTTAATTCATTTGGAGCAAAAAAATATTTTCGGTTAAAATGAGCGTAACGCACGCATGGCCTAACGTCTTTGAATATAAAAATAGATATTGCCCTACATCTGACGATGTTTCACTACTTACGGATTAATGTAACTGTGGCTTTACGATTTATAATAAATTTTGTAACGTTGATTCGTTGGATGAAACATTGTTGGAACGATAAGTCGATGAAAGAGTAGACGCTCGGATTCAGCTTTGTGCACGGGGTTTATTCTGTCGAGGTGTTAATTGGGCATTTGCTTTCACATTTTTTAACGATGCCTGGAAACTATTTCATGTTTTGTCCATTTTAATCACATGTTTTTCCAATTTTATGTCGTTTGAAGATTTTATTGATGTCTTAAGAACTGGGGGAATATTGTTTTGTTTATTAATGAGAATATTCATGTCTATTTGTTGTATTGGAGTTGACTGTTATGATTGAATGAAATAGCAAAGCCTATTTTTAATTCTATTTCAATTCCAGAAGCAAAATAATAAAATACTATTTTAGTTTATTTTGTCGAGATATTAATCAAGCATTTGTTTTCACATTTTTCAATGATGGGTGAAAAATATTTCATCTTTTGCCTATTTTAACCACATGTTTTTTCCAGTTTTATGTCATTTAAAGATTTTATTGAAGTTTTTAGAGGCTGGAGGAATATTGTTTCGTTTATTAATTAAAATATTTATGTCTATTTGTTGTGTAGAAGTCGTGGAATCTAATACAATGTTATTTGATACGAATACATGATGACAAAGCCAATGACCTATTTGACCACTTCATTGAAATATCGAAATACCACAGACAATTGCTGTTTGATTCTATCAGAACGAGGAATGAAATAGCCAACGTCTACTCTATTTCAATTCCAGAAGCAAAATAACTCCCGATAATCCGAAATAACGAGCTTCAAATCATCGAATACTGTTTCTATTCGATTTTCATGAAGTAGTCAGCTCTGAATTTTTGAATGAAAGTAAATTACTGATCAAGTTCATTAGAACGAAATGACGATTAAATGAGCGATAGAAACTATCAATTTTGCAATTAAACCTGTCGTAGTGGAATTCAATGATTTTTCTTCTGTTCCATTTTATTTTTAGATTTTCCTCATGTTTCAAAGATCTGAGAAACTATGATGTGAATCATTAATTAAAATATTCATCAGTATTTCAATAGTTTCATTCAGAGAAAATGCCATTTTGTACGAATAATTGATGAGAATTATGTGAACTATTTTTACATTTCTGAAATATTTTGCAACTCTAAATTTATGACTGGAATAAATCACCCATCAGGCTCGTCACAATCCAACGAAAATACAATAGAATTCTCTGAATTTGCAATTCCACCTCTGTCTGATTTTATTCGTACTTTCAATCACATGTTTGTTCCCATTTTAATCGGGAATGAGTCATTAGTGTCTGGTACTCGTTATGTAGTTGGTAATACTAATGCGAGGGCTTGCTGTGTCACTGCAATGATAGCTGAGTGGCAACAAAATCATCGCATACTCTTTGTCTCGATGATCAATGCAGATTAAGGATATCCAAGTACTTTGGCTCGTTTTTCTCCATTGAAATGCTTTTCTACTTTTGTTGTCGAACACCAGAGCTTTCATTTGAGCCCCATTCAACCCTAACTTTCCGGAAATTTTACAATGATTTTATTACTTAAACTTTACAGATGTGAGGCTCACGTTTTTGAGTTTCTTAAAATGCCGCGAATCGAGGATTTTAATCAGACGGGTCAGGAAATAGTTTTATCGCCGTGTGGCATACAATATTTTATGTCTTTGGGCCCGAAAACCGCAATTTAACCGAGAAAATCGATGTTAGAATCGCGGTTTTACGGTCCTAGGGACATAAAATGATATTTTATGCCTCAAGTACCGAGAACCGCGTTCTAACCGAACAAAGTGAAATTAAAATTCGCAGTTTATCTGTGCTCGGGCCATAATATACTATTTTTTATGTGTCCAATACTGCGTCTTCGCCACTCGGAATAAAATAAAACATTGAGAAGGTTTGATGGGCGAAGATTTTGTCAATGGATTATTCGATTGAAATTCAGCATCACATTTTCCTTTTTCTCCCCTCTGGGTCTCCCCCTGGGCCTTCCTCTGGACTTTGGATTTTGCTGTTTCATTTGCTTTTCAATTAATCCATTGACAAAATCTTCGCCCGCCAAAGCTTCTCAATAATTTTCCATTCTACTGAATGGTGTGGTCTTGGATATCCTTAAGACGAGGGGGATTTATATCGGTTTGTTTGCAGAAAGGGCAGTCGTTTGCAACGAGACGTTGCGGACCCTCAGGTAGTTTCGCTGTCACCCTACACCGATGTCAATATCAATGGCCTGCGAGTGGAACATGCCGTCAAAGAGCCTTTCATTGCCCAGGACGGAATGCCCGAGATTTTGGCCGGGGGAGAAGCTACTTTACGACTATTTGGCAGTGGTCTCAAGAATGATACCAAAATCGTGTTTACGGATGAGAAGCCGCAGGAGGACAAGTCCTGCACTAGGATCAAATCGGATGAATTTCAAGTGCGTGAATGTTGAGAGCAGTTATTCTATTTTACGACATCAGTAATTAATTTTGTGTTCATTAGTTCACTCCATTAATATTTCATTGGTTTAATTGGGTCAAGAACAAATCGTTTTGGAGAGAAACTTGAGTAATTGATGAAGAATTAATTAATTAGTTTTGAAGCGGTCTGAAAAAATTTTATTTCTGTAGAAAAATTATTTCCTTTTGCTTATTTGTACTCCATGTTTTTTCAGGTTCATATTATTTGAAGATTTGATTGATGTTCTTTAGGGCTGGGGAAATATTGTTTGGTTTATTAATGAGAATATTCTATTTACAAATTGTTCGATTTTACCATTCATTTAATTGTGTCAAGAACGACAAGTTTCAGAGAAAAAATTGAAAAAACCGTTAGGTAGATGAGCAATTGATGAAGAATTAATGATGATTAATTAGAGTTATGAAGTGATAACACAGAACAATTTTAATTTGAAAAAAAACTCCAATTCACCATCCTAAAAATCATGTTTTTGGTTTAATAAGAGTTTGTAAAAAAAATTTTTAGGTTCAAAATGCGGACGAATTCACAGGGACTGTGGACGTAATACTGCCCATGGGGTCGCCCTTCTACATTTGCGTAAAACAAGTGAAAAACCGTGATGGAGGACAAACCGAGAAACGAGTATACTACAAGCATCAGGGAATGGAGAGTCATAAAGCAGTGAGTCGAGGATTTTGTCAATTATTCCTCCGTCCCAGAAATGGCACTGAGTTCGGCGTTATCTCGATGCTCGAGACTATCCGGATTGAGGCCGATAAATCTGGTGAAAATTATCGTGATAACTAATTAATTACATTTCTTCCAGATTCGTACGTATGAAAAAATGCTAGCACTCTGGCTGCAAATCACGATTATCCTCACGTGTCTGGCCTTCTCAGCGCTCTTCTCAGGGCTGAATTTGGGGCTTATGGCTATGGACAGGACTGAATTAAAGATTTTGTGTAATACTGGAACTGAAAAGGTTCGTCAAACTCAAAAAACCACTATTGAAGATAAACGAGTGAAATCAATCTCATTAAATCCTCAATATCCCCTGAACTAACGAAGCAATTTGCATGAATCAAGTTCATCTTTTAAGCTTGAAAAAAAATCTTCAAAATGAAAAAAATGTTGAATTTCACTCTGCCAATCCGGAGATATTCATCACTTTTTATTGATGATTTCCAGGAACGTAAATATGCAAGAACAATTCAACCAGTTAGAAATCATGGAAACTACTTGCTATGCTCTATTCTCTTCTCAAATGTCCTGGTAAATTCAATATTCACAATCTTATTGGACGATCTAACATCTGGAGAAGTTGCTATCGTATGCTCGACCTTGGCGATCGTGATTTTCGGTGAAATTTCCCCTCAAGTGAGTGTAAAAAAAAATGAAGCGATAAATACATCATATCACACGAATTAACGATTAACCTTGCAGGCATTTTGCAGTAGACACGGACTCTGCGTGGGTGCCAAAACAATTTACATAACAAAGCTCATGATGGTAATAACGTTTCCCCTGAGTTATCCCATAAGTAAATTCCTGGATTTCATGCTTGGTGAGGAAATTGGAAACGTTTACAACCGTGAGCGTCTCAAGGAGCTGGTTAAGGTAAATGTGACGACATTATGTCATTGAATTCATCAAAGTTAGGGGGAAGTCCTCGATTAGTTAGACGATTGACTTGAAACACTAGCTTTTTATCACGAGGAGACTTCCGCAAAACGATACCTTGGATTAGATTACCAAATACTGATTAGGATGACGTCATAGGATCATGCGATACCGAAAAATTTAGCAGAAGAATGTCAAGAGTTAATTGTACTTGAGTTTTCAAGAACGAAAAGCTAGAAGATTAACGTTCATCAATAGTTTTTAGTGAATTTCTTTACTGAATGGAGAAATTGCAATTTTTCTGCACAAAAATATTGAAAGAAATGGAAAATTAATTAATTAATTAATTAAGGGAAATATTAACTGTTTAATTAAACTAAAAAAGTCAATTTTTTTATTTTAAGAATTGTTTTTGCTGAATATCTGGAAATTGAAACGAAATATCAAAATTTCTGCAGATGATATTTTTTGTAGATCTTGATTAAAAAAAAAAGTTTTCACAAAATCAAGTTGAAAAATTCAAGTAATTTTTTTCCTTGCAAATATCTTTAAAAAATGGTGAACATGTTTTCGTTAATTTCTAGCAATTGAAAAATTTTCAAATACTGAAATTTCTCGTCATAAAAAAAATTCTTGAGTAATATGCACATTGAAAAACTTAAAAATGAGTTATTTATGTAAATAACTGGAAATTTTTGTAAAATACTAAAATTCCCTGCTACCAAACCTTGAAATCAACCAAATGAATGCCTCCAGGTGACAACTGGCTACAACGATCTCGAGAAAGACGAAGTGAACATAATAGCTGGAGCCCTTGAGCTCCGCAAGAAGACAGTTTCCGACGTGATGACCAAAATCGAGGATGTTTATATGCTGGATTACAACGCAATCCTCGACTTCGAGACAGTCTCCGAAATAATGAAATCAGGTAAATCCCCAAGACCGAGAGAATACTGAAACCCATCGTCTCGAATTTACGATAAGCCATCGACGAGAGTGATGCTTATCATCCCCATGCATTAAGCCCTTATCACAGAACAATACGCTACCCACTCGAGAAATTATCGATCAGTCAAGGTCTTTTGAAGGTGCTACTGACCTTATTTCGCATTTCAGGATTCTCAAGAATTCCTGTCTACGAGGGAGAGAGAAACAACATCGTGACAATGCTCTACATCAAGGATCTGGCATTCGTGGATCCTGACGACAATACTCCATTGAAGACATTGTGCCAATTCTACCAGAATCCCTGTTACTTTGTTTTCGAAGACGTCACCCTCGACGTTATGTTCAAGCAGTTCAAAGAAGGTAAAAAACATCTAAAAAAATGAATCGCACTAAATCGTGAATAACTTGAGAACGGCAGAGTGAAATTTCTCGCCTTTTCTTTCATTTCAAAGGTATTTTTTCAAGCTTGAAAACGAGCCCTGACTCATTCAAATCGTATCGTTGAGTCCGGTGATATTGGCGATTTAAGAAAATTCATTCAGCTTTTTTTTTTAATTAAATGTGAAATTATGTATTTTATCGCTCAGGGCACAAGGGCCACATGGCATTCGTGCAGAGAGTCAACAACGAAGGTGAAGGTGATCCATTCTACGAAGTAACTGGCCTGGTAACCCTGGAGGACGTGATAGAGGAGTTGATTCAAGCTGAAATAATGGACGAGACAGACGTATTCAGTAAGTCAATAATCTGCATATCATCCTGACCCACATACCACCGATAGAATAACCGATAATTATCTCAATGTTAAACAGCTGATAATCGAAGTAAACGAAAGAGATTAAACAATCGTCCGATGATGCCGGACTTCACTGTATTCGCTGAGAAGAAGGAGAACCAGAGAATTCACATCTCTCCACAATTGACATTGGCAATGTTTCAATATTTATCAACGAGTGAGTGAATCTCGTCTTTTTGCATCGAAACATTATCTAACTTAATCAATCTATTTCTAGCTGTGGATCCATTCAAACCTGACACGATATCGGAAACAATTCTCCGTCGATTACTCAAGCAAGATATCATTTATCACATCAAAGTTAAGTCTCGTGAGAAGGCACGCAATGATCCAGGGGCTATAATATACCAGCAGGGCAAAGCTGTTGATTACTTTGTCCTGATTCTTGAGGGGCGTGTGGAGGTGACCGTTGGAAAGGAAAATCTCATTTTTGAAAGTGGACCATTTACTTATTTCGGGTGTCAAGCACTCAGTCCTAATTTTGCTGTTGGTGAGTCATTTATTTCTGTAAATAGCGATGTGTCCTGGAGGAAAGGATGTACTGTGGTGGAGGGAAATTGATACTTCAAGGAGTCTTGAGCTGTCATTTGCAGGAGAATGACATTGATTTTCGTCTAAAGGGAAGATAATGAAAGTTTATATTTCGTTGAGAATTCAATGAAATTATGAATTTTTAGGGAGCAGGAAGATGAGAATTCCTAAACTTTCTTGAATTTTTAATAAAAATATGAATATTCATTACAAAATAACGCTCAATTTTCAATCAGTTGTATGTTCAATGACATATTCCCCTGAAATTTCCTGATTTCTATTAATTTTCATGCAATAATTGAATTGAAATTTACAGTTTCCATTGATTTTTCAACGAATTTTCAATTATCAACGACGAAATAATTTGAAATTTCATCCAAAAATGTTCAACAGTGTATTACGAGAAAATTATTCAAAAATACGTACTTTAGAAATACAATTCTGACAATATAATAATTATCATTATTTATTTGTCAATCCATTCAACAGTAATTAATTCCTCTCTGCGGAGCTACGTATTTTTGAATAATTCCCTACAGATACTTTTTTTCTCCAAGGACACATCGATATGTCAACATTTCCCCCATGAAATCATCATCAGCTCAATCAATCAATTAGCCTCGAATGTTTCAGTGACGGAGTCCCCAACAACGACAAATCCCCAAAGTCTGGGAAGTATCCAATCGATAAATTTGGATGCCATACTGCGTCACACATTTGTGCCAGACTACACAGTGCGTGCAATAACCGAAGTCTTCTACGTTAAAGTCAAGAGATCACTGTATCTAGCAGCTAAAAGAGCTACGCTATTGGAGAGAAGCCAGAAAGATCCGTCGCCGAGTCAGGATCAGTTTGACGATGAAGTTGAGAAGTTACTTCATTCATTGGATGAGGACGATCACAGTATGCCAACGACACCCAGTAATGAACGTAGACATCATCACAGAGTCAATGATGCACGTCAACAGCAGTCACCAGTGCGGAGTGCAACTGCCCCAACGTCACCTCTACCAGTTAGTGCGAGTCCAATGACTAATTCAAAGTTTGTACCGAGGAACGGGCCTAATGGGCAGTTGAAGAATTCACCTGTGAAGGTTTGACTTTTTTTTTCTTCTGGTTCAGTTTTGGAAATTAATCTGTCAATGATATATTGCGAAATATAACTTTTTTTTCAAACATTCTCTTTTTTTGAATGAATAATTCAAATTGTTTAATTCTAATCAATTTCTGATGGAATTTTGACTAAAATGAAAAATCAAATTGAGATTTTATAAATTGAATAATCAAATTATTGCAAATTTTTAGTAACCTAGGGTCAAATGGAGCTTAGAAAAATTTATGATGCTGAGAAAAACAAATAGCCAAATCATGTTAAAGATATCCAAAAATCATTTACAATTTAGCGTAGATTCAACTATTTTTAATCATAACTATCAATTAAGTTGCGTGAAGAAAATTTGGAAAAACTCATGAATATTCAGATTGCAAAAAATCATGAAATTCAGAACTGCAAAGGTTAAATGATAAAATCATTGTAAAATAACTTTGTCATTTAAACTATGATTTTCATTTAATTATTCACTTAATCATTATTATTTTAATTATTGAAAAAACAGCCAAAGTCCTTGGATATCCTTAATGTCCCCAAGAAATAAATGCACAATTTTTTTAAAATTTTCTTTTAATTTCCCGTTTATTCGGGTAAGACCCTACGGTAATTAAAAAATTCTGCAATTGAAAACTGTACTCCTTTAAAACCTGTAATCCATTAAAAACTCCACTGAAACGTCAAAAAGACTTCAAAATCGATTCCCATATTTGAAAAATCATCTCAATGTCAAATTCCTCATTATTAGACGAAAAACGACGAAAAACGCCTCCACAAAAATTCTAAAATGACGCTCTTCGTCTTTCAGATCGAAGAAATTCCAATGAATCCCCCCGAAGGTCAGAAACTAGACCTTGACGCGGAAATAGCATCACGTCAAGCTGAAGCAGCTCGTTTACCCACGAAAAAATCATCAGTGGACGAGGAAGAGCGTGAGAATCTTCTCTCAAAGCACATTGACTCTTAACGCTTGCAAAATGGCCGTGCGAGTAACATCGTCACGGCTAACGAGGTAACAACGAATAGTTGCTGCAGCCCAAGTTCAAACAGTATCAATCAAACAACGTGACATTTCATACTTATTGCTGTAGCCTTAAGAACGGATCAGATACTTAATTAGTAACATATTAGCTGTTTCGTTTGAATGTTAATTGAGACAGTGCTGAATTCGTTTGCTACATTTTACCAATCGAATTGAATTTTTACTTTAGATCTCCTGCTCAGGGAACTGATGCCAAATTCACCTAAATTTCCATTTCAATTTAATTCGTTAGGTCGAGTCAATTGAGTTTTTCTAGCAGAAGCAACAAAAAAAAACAAAAAAATCTTGAAAACCTGTCACAGATTATTTTACAGAGACAACACGATGATGTTTCTTTGTCACTTGTACATACCATTCCAATTTTTATCATTTACCATGAAAAGTATTTCAAATGAAAATTAAACCACCACCTTACGATGCGTTTATGATACATGTGACACAAATACTCAGCCAATCAAAGGTTTAACCACTTAGTTTTAAATGAGCAAGTCTAAAGAATTCTCAAGGGGATTAGAGTCAAATTTCATGATGAAAAATGTTGAGTACGATTGCCTAATATTAATAATCTTTTATATAATGTTCGTTAGTCCTGTTTAATCATGTTTATTCGTTGAATGTTTACCTCTGTCGTATAGATTCCGAGTGCCTGCTTACTTCTCAAATCATGTTTTCAAGGGGATTGGGGGGGTGGGGCGGGGGGGGGGGGATAANGGGGGGGGGGGGGGGGGGGGGGGGGATAATTATGAGATACCTTGGGTAGAAAATGCCATCGAATTAGACCTAGCTTGGCGGTTGTATCCAGTGTATTTGGATACCTCCGAGTAACACATTATTTTTTATACCAGAAAGAAAGGGAAAATTGTGAGTATCTCATTGGACAAACAATCCACTAACATCGAACAAGCTGTAGAATGTATTAATCATTCAACTGCATGAATTTTTATTGCATATGAAAATTGAGTGAAGAATATCAGACCCTTATTTTACCATTTTCATACACTGAGAAAAAAAATTATTTTTGCGAAATATTCATTTACTTGAGAGAAGTATTTATTTTTTCAAAATCATATTTCTCCAATCGAGTCATTCCCAGGCGAGCCTGATTAGGTTTCAGTTATAAAAATCATGGTGCTCCAAAGGATGATTATGTTCCACATGACTTTGGAGGGATGTCTCTAATGATTATTCATTTTTCCTAAATTTCGTATTTTCTAGAGAGAAGAATTTTCATCAATTTTTTAATGTTGATAATTATTTAAGGAGTTCACTCAAAGTCATAACTAACGGGTTCATCTTCTAGAGCAATATAATTGACATAATTGAAACCTAATGAGAATTGCCTGAGAATGGCTCGAATTGAGAAATACGGCATTGAAAAAATTAATTCTTCCCTCAGGTAAATAGATATTTGGCAAAAATGATTTTTTTTCTCAATGTAAATAATAAAAGATTCTTCGTTACTCAGAAAAATAAAAAAAATACGTATCCAATATTCTTCCTCAAATTTTCATATTTCATAGAACAAAAACCCCATCATTCGTGTTTTCACATAAATCCTGTCGTATCACGAATTCAAAATTGTTATTCCTCATTGACAATTTAGTTATTTATTTAGTAATACCGCAGACAATAAGACGATAGTTATCAGTGATGAAGAATTCTTGGAAATAATAGTAGCTACTATTCCTGTTTGTTCGAGTTTCATAGAAGAATCATTTTTAATGAATGCACGCAAGAGTCAGTATGTGATCCATGACGTATAAAAAAATTGAGAGGACATGATTGTTAGAAGGTGCCTATTTGTACGATGAGTATCGGTGCTTCGATGGAATTAATGAGTTTTGTTATGAAAGTGTAGTATTCTCGATTAATCACAGCTGTAGCTACATATTTTCAAGTTTCATTAACAATCAGAAAAGTTCCACAGGAACACATGTTCCCTGGCAAGTTCAATCAAACAAATGCGTATCATTTATCGAGAGTATGTTAGTGGTTTGCGAACATGTTAAACTTAATAGTTATCTACGTATAGAATATAAACACAAATATATATGAATTTATATTGATGAAGTATGGTGATGTTGAGTTATGTGTTCGGTACAGAAGAATAATTAAATGAGAAAGATACTTGTAAACGTAAATAGTTTCGATTGTAATGAACAAACTCTAAGTCAAATTTGCATTTCATTTAATATTGAGAGATATTTCAGCATAAAAGTATAGTTAAACTGTTGTACTTATTGAGAGTCAAAAACAAGGTGAATTTGATTTGATTAAAGCATATCTCAGAAACTATTTGATTTGTTATTTGTCAATCAATTATTTAATCCTTTAAATCCTTTTAATCACTTTATCCTTTCATTTTGATGAAGGATGGTGATGTAGTTATGTGTTCCGTACAGAAAAATAATCACATGAGACAGATACTTGTAAACGTAAATAGTTACGATTGTAATGAACAAACTCCAAGTCAAATTTTCATTTCATTTAATATTGAGGATTAGAAACAAAGTGAATTTAATTTTATTAGATCACATCTCATAAATTATTTGTCTGTTTTATTCATAAATTAGTCATTTAATCCAGACATTACTTCATTAAACTCTTAATCACTCCATCTATGGATTAATTACCCTCAAATCCAATTTTCCTATTGACTTGATTCCCAGAGCCGGAAGCATAAATAGAGGAAGAATAGTGGTGATGTTGTCCACCTGTTACGAAATCCCAGAGCATTTGGACATTTCTGGATACTTGTGAAAATAATGAATGTGCGATTCCCGTTAAACATGTAGAAACAGTGAGGATGAGTAATTGAGTCAGACTAGAAATCATTCTTGAGACGAAAAACATTGAAACTCCCACTGCTTCTCACCCATGCAGACGTCAAAGTGCTTGACGGATCATCCTGAGTGATATGCAAGTCAGTTGGAAACATGCGCTACGGAGTGTCTGTGCTTTTTGCAGAGCGAGTGATTCACGAATTATTGTTGAATATGATATAGATACGAATAAGCGTGACCCTGTGTTTTTTATCCGCCGCAAGTAACACCTGCGATGATTTTCTCAAAGTAATTGTGGATAATTGATTTATTTGTCGATTAAAAGGTAAATGAATCGAGTCGTGAAGCCCAACAATTTCTGGTTGAATATCCAATGATGATTGATAATTTTTAAAATCATGCGTTCGAACAATTTGACTCCTGCGATGATTTACTTCAAGAAATTATGGATAATTGACTTATTTGTCGATTGAAAGATAAATGAATCGAGTCATGAAGCCAAACGATTTCTGATTAAATATCCAATGATGATTGATAATTTTTGAAGTCATGCCTTCGCACCAATTTAATCAAGTGTTATAGTTCCCGAATTTCCCTCGTTGTTGACGGAATAAAAAGCTCGTAAACATTACCTATTTTCACGCGTCGGTAAATCACAGAGCCGCAGTTTAGCGAACAATAATCTGCTGGTCACGGTTTACATCCGGCATTCGAGTTGATGTAATTATAGTGTTGAAGAATATTCTTAATTTTAGTTACAGACCTGTCAATTTTTAAACTTCAATCGACTTTGAGATCGAATTTCTCGTTAATTTTGTATCTGTGGACTGACTTTTTAAATCATCAACAAATGCGGATATTTCAATGATGACTTCATTTTTTGTAATTTTTTGCGAAAATGAAACATTTAACTGAACAGAATTTTCAGGTATTCACAAAGTTTCCACGGAATTTATTGTTTTTAAATTCAAATTCAAAAGTACTTCAAGAATTTTACTTGGAATTTCACCTGAAAATAGCCATCAACGTATTCATTCATTAATACATTAATTCCATTCAATTTTTATGTCATCCACAATTGTTTTAGAGAACCAAATGTAGAAGGATAAAAATGAATACTTCATATTTGTTCGGAAGAGATCAACAGTGGGGGCCCCGATACTATTTCTCATACTACAGTGAATTTGGAGAGCGCGGAGATGTCAGCAAATTTGAAGTAAGCCAAAAATTTCCCAACTGACATTGAGAGAAAAAATTAGTTGCCGAAAAATCATAGGGGAGGATGGGGTGAAATGAACACGTTTGATTTTTAAAAAAATATTAATAACTCGCCAACATCTTTATCTTACCATATTGATCTCAGTCATGGCTTATGACGAAAGGGAAGAATTGTACTTTCTATTTACTAAAAATAAATAATTCCATCTCACCAACAATTCAATAAGTTCTTGACATTTTAAAAAAGTCACAAGTGTCCATTTTACCCCACCCTCCCTGACGTCTTCCTGAAGAGATCTTTTGTCGCGTTGAATCAATTTACTTGTGGACAAACAAAAGTTTCCACCAAAAAATCTGTTCCACTCCATCAAATATTCTCACGTGGAACATATATTTTTCATTTGACAATATACCAGAAATCCAAATGTTCGAGACAAACTAACAACTTCCTGCGCTGGTTCCTGAACCCGAAGTTGATTGCCCTATCACAGCGATAAGAAATATCCGGAAGTGGCTGAATTTACAACAATCGAAAAATTAATTTCCTCAATTTTGTCAAAGTGAATTCTAGAAATGAACAACTGAGACTGAATCCTCAACGATTACAGGTCACCGTACTGTCCCTCATATTCATCACAGCGATTGGCACAAATGTAGGCATAATAGTATGCATTATCCACTATAAGGAAATGCAAACGCCGACAAATCGTTGTCTGGTTAATTTAGCTGTTGCCGATCTATTATTTGCCGTTGGCATTCCGGCTGTTGCATACACCAGACTCACCCAGTCATGGAGTTTAGGAGAAACAATGTGTAAATTTCTCCCCTATTCGCAGGTATAAACTCATAAATTATAAATCCACAGTTTGATGAAAATGTGTGAAAAATGATGAAAATACCCGTTAGCATTTTCAATCTCTTCATCGATTTTCAGCTCGTCTGTGGATTCGTATTACTGTGGACCTTAACATTGATATCAATAGACAGATACAGATGTTTGGCAGTCTCACCGTACAGAAGTGTACTATCAAAATCCCGGGTTTATGTGGCTAGCGCTATAACTTGGGCAACGGGAGTTACGTTATTTCTTCCAGTGGCTCTTTGGTTCACAACTCTAGTGAGTTCATTAGTAAAAATATTAACGACCCATCAAAACACAGATTTCACACGACTTTTTAATCATCACGAGTAAAAATTGCGAGAGTGGAAAAATCGGAAAAATGAATAGAATTTCGATATTCTGGTGAATAATAACATAGTGTGGCGGATTTGTTCTTTTCCATCTCAATTACCTTCATTTACCCTTTTGGAAATTGATGTCGATTTTTTTCACGATTGGAGGGGCTAGAAAAACTATCCCTCAATTTTTTTTTGATTTTTTCGACAGCTCATTTCGGAGATGTGATTTTTTTTTTCACTTCTTTCAATAACTCGGGTTCTATTTAGCCGATTTTTATTTATGACGGCTCAAAATACTTGCTTTGATTACAAGAGTTACTGAAAAAGACACAGAAAAATAAAACGTGACATAATTTCGAAAATTCAAGTTTTGCAACACCTTAGTTTTTTAATTCGGTATTATGAGCACCAAGGGGTTGAAAAAAAAAATTACTCAAATAATTCTTATAGATGGCAGAAAATCGAAAACTTTGACGTGTCATAAATCAAAATCGGATGAGTAGAAGTGGAGTTATTTGAAAAAAAAAACGGAAAAAACCAAAAAAATTATGTCTCCGGAATGGGCTATTGAAAAAATCTGAAAAAAAATTGATAGTTTTTCTAGCCCTCTAATCGTAGAAAAAAATCTGAATCAATTACCAAAAGGGTGCGGGTCAGCCGTTGACTCATTTGACATGGAATACCTCATATTAATTGTTTTAATGAGTGATTATTCATGAGAATGGAGAATTCATCCCTAACATCCTCTAAAAACTGCGTAAGTTCTCGCCCAATTAATTAATTGACTTGATTTCCCCAATTTTTCAGGAATCAATCGACAAAAAAACAATATGCACCCTGATATTCCCAATCAGCCAAGTCGTAGACATGTCCCTCTGTTTCATCATTCCAACTGTAATAGTAGCCTGTTTCCTACCAATGTGTCTCCTAGTCTACCATTATCACAAAATTTTCCAGAGGATAATTGACGCAAGAAGCAGATGGGCGGTGCCATGTGTCTCCCAGGTGAATAATACCTGAGAAAAAATTCCGAATGGGAATAGAATGTTGAAAGAATGAAAATGTTCAAATGGAATGGAATTTTCAAGGGGAGACTACTATGAGTGTTAAAAGTCGCGGGCGATTGGAATGAGATTTCTCATACATTGAACATCGATTTTATTTTTCTAAAAACAAATAATTAGTGCAAAAAACTAATTGTTTATCGTTCGTTAACCCCACAAACGCTTAAAATGTTTAAAATACTCCAGGGCCTCCAATTTTTGAGCTACAGAGGTTTTTTTTCAAAATTTTTATAAAAATATGTGCAATAACAATTACGAATTAATTTTTTGAAATGCAACTCCTACACAGCTAATGTCCTTATTATTTTAATAAAAAATTGCACCATTCATGTAAAATAGCCCGAAAAATATTTCTGAAAGAATCGAGAATATATTTGAAATATTCTAAGGATCATTTTTCTGTTTATTTCACATGAATGGCGCATTTTTTTGTATTAAAACAAAACAAAATTAGCTGTGTAGGAGTCAAATTTCAAAAAACTAATTCGTATATAATTGTTATTGTACACATTTTTTACAAAATTTGGAAAAAAAACCTTTGTAGCTTACAAATTGGAGGCCTTGGACTATTTTTAACATTTTAACCATCTGCGGGGCGAATGAACAATAAACAATCAATTTTTTTAGCACTAACGATTCGTTTTCGAAATCTCACTCCAATATCCCACGATTTTGTAAACTCATAGTCTCCCCCTAGACTCAAAATTAACGTAAAAATTCAATTTGCACAGACAACCGAGGCCCCCGGCACCCGACGAGATTCTGAATTATCGGTAATTGGAAGTTTGGGTCTAGTAGCTTGGGCAGGAAGAAAATATTCCGGTACATCAATTACGGGTCGTCAAGGACGGACCGGAAGTCTCTCACAGAGTGAAGAAATTCGATTGCACAGACATCTAAAAGTTGTCAGAATTCTCCTCCTCAATGTGATTGTTGTCCTGGCGATGTGGCTACCAATTACAATCATAATGCTACTAATTTACGTGGATGGACATAGACCAACAGAGGACACTGATTTCTTTCTGAAATCCCATCACTTCATCTGGGCGCTCATTATTGCGCAACTCAATACTGTTGTCAATCCACTGCTGTACGGCGCATTTTCCGAGAATTTTCGAGCATGCTTCGCCAAATTGTGGCACAGAAGACCGAGGATATACACGTGTACGAGTCCCCTGCCAATCAACAGTGGAAGAGTCTCATGAACATGACAAAATTACTGGGAAAGCGCATGTCTGTCACCAGAACTTTAACGAATCCGAAGAGAATTTTTTCTCATTAAGATGAAAAAAAAAAGAATTGAAAATTGAAAATTTCAAGACGGTTCTGTATATAAATCCATTTATATAATCAAAGTAACGTATAAACTGAAAGAATCTGTTGCAAAACCTCGTACAAAAACCCAACAAACATCAGTCCCACATCTCCTTTTTAATACTCTTCTTAATATACCTCAACTTCACAACAACAATATTCTTCGTCTCAATCAAACTCTTCAAAGTACTAAGTTTAGCAGTCAGCAAGTTCTCCATGTCCGTAGCCGCCCTACAAGAGCCCTCGCCCCCCAGAACTTTACTAGAATCCACACCATAATTATTCAAAATGCACTACAATTGAGTTTCACACTGCGTCGCCATCAGGTCAATCCTCACATCGAACTTCTGCATTTCCCCCAGATTCCTAATCTCCAGAAAAACTTTGAGAGTCGTCACATAACATTAACAAATACTTGAGATAGTCCCTCTAGTCCAATCTCCAGATGGTTCCTCCCCCCCATCACCAAGAGTCCCATGAACGTAACAAAATCATCGAGAAATTCAAGACATTTCTGTTTATAAATCCATTTTTATAACGTATGAACTGAACGAATTCGTTACAAAACCTACTACTATACTTTTCTGTGATAAATATTGTGTCCGTCAGTATGAAAGCACCGCAATTGATAAACTGGAAGAATCTGTTACAAAAACCTTTTGCGAAAAACCAACAAACATCAGTCTCTCATTTCCTTCCTAATACTCTTCTTAATATACCTCAACTTGACATCATCAACACTCTTCTTCTCCATCAAACTCCTCAAAGTACTAAGTTTAGCAGTCAGCAAGTTCTCCCTGTCCGTAGCCGCCCTACAAGAGCCCTCGCCCCCCAGAACTTTACTAGAATCCACACCATAATTATTCAAAATGCACCACAATTGAGTTTCACACTGAGCCGCCACCAGGTCAATCCTCACATCGAACTTCTCCACTTCCCCCAGATTTCCAATCTCCAGAGGAACCTCCAGAGTCGTCACACGATCGCAAACCACCTTCGAAGCGAACAGTCTCTGACTCTCAATGACAACATTAACGAATACCTGGCTGTCCAGAGGCAGTCCCTCCAGCTTGACCTCCAGATATTGTCTCCCCCCTACCCTCAAGATCCTCACAGCTGGGGAGTACTGAGTCTTCTGCTTATGGGCATAAGCACTGATCCTCTCCAATCTGCCCTGGGCCACAGCAATCCCCTTGTTCACCAGTTCCAGCTCCTTCGCCCTCTCGCAAATCTTATCAACAATGATATTCGTATTCCTGATCATATCCTCCTTCAGAGTATTAAACTCCCTCTTCTCCCCGTCCCTCCCCATCTTCATTATCTCAAACTCCGTCAATTGACCATCTGAGAGCATCAGAATCCCATCCCCACGAGGCCTCAGACAATTTATTATCCTCTCGTTCGATGTGAAGACAACCTCGACATTTTCGTTTCTGTCAAGTCCAGAACAGTCTATACACACTCTCCTGTGATAAATATTGTGTCCATTAGTGTGAAAGCACCACAATTGATCAGTAGAAGCCCTTGGAAAGTAAATTGTTAAAGCTACGATGTCTCCATCATAACACAACTTCCTCAAGGGCATCAGCTTTCTCGTATCTTCATCTGGCAGTAATAAAACGAGATAATTACCCTCAGTAATCAACCCCACACCAAAGTCTCTTTGGTCTCTCTTAACGGCTAGAATGTCAGTGATAAAATTACTCTCCACGTGAATAATCGTCACTCTCTCATCAATCAATTTGTAAAGTTTCTTTCCACTGGTGATCAAGCAGGATTTATTATCATCATCACCACTGGCACAGAACAATATCTGTCTCAAGTCGTAGACAATCACCCCATCGTAATCCCGATAGTTTACATTCTCAGACAGTTGAAACAAGTGTTTTGATTTTTTTGTTATTTTGTCAGCTAGATAGAGCCAGCCCCTTGTGGGGGTGAGCACCTGGTGCACCTCGCAGCCCAGCCCTATCCCAGTTGTACTGAGGACCACGAATTTGTACTTGTCCGAGAGCTTGTAGATCCCTGTCGGCTCGCAAACGATGAACACTCGGCCTGAGTAACTGCAGATGGTTTTGATGGGCTTTGGAGCTGTTAATTTATGGGACTTTAGAGGGCCTGAGTCGATTATCTGCACTTCCTCGTCAGACGTGGAGTCTGGGTGATAGGGAAATATCAGGAGTTTGTCCTCGTTCCAGATGAATCCGGCCTCAGTACCGTAGAAGTTTAGGATTTCTAGGTTATTTGTGGGAAATTCACAGCCAACTTCTCTCTCAGATACTTTCTGGAGGATTTTATTCATTGGTTACCTCGCGGTGGATCATACTCTTGGAAGTGAGGACGGTTGGTTGTTTCTGTTGAAGGGGGACATGGAGATGAGTGGAAGCTCGGAAATTATTGTGAATTGACTTGAATAATTGATGAATTATCTATTCAAAAGGGGAATTGATAGTTCAATTAATTGGAATTGAAATCCTATTGGATGGAATTTATTTATTACTTGATGAAAATGGAATTTGTAATAAATGCAGTGAAAAGAATAATTCTCTTTTCTCATTAATTCATTAACATTGATTCTTTAAATAACTCAACAGTTAAAAACGAATGAAGAATTTTGCAAATTATCATGGATTGACATTAATAATTGCGAAAATGTATACCCAAAAGGTAAATCAACTACAACAGTTCAATTAATTAGAATTGAAATCCTATTGAGTGCAATTTATTTATCACTCGATGAAAATGGCAGAATTTCACAGGGAGGGCACCCCTAAAAACCATAAGAATAATTCTCTTCTCTCATTAATTCATGCACATTAATTCTTCAAACAATTGAACAATGAAAAACGACTAGAAAATTTCGCAAAACATGAGTTGACTTGAACAATTGATGAATTATCTATCCACAAAGTGAATTAACTCAATTAATTACAATTGAAATACGATTGAATGAAATTTGTTTACAACAAACCTCAGAAGGCCTCCACCCGCAGATAATCATCAACAAATAAATAACGATAATTACGTAAATTCCCATCTAGTCAGAATCCTATCAAGTCAATTCGTTTTAATTTAATATACTGAGATAATCCCTTTGGAATCATTTCCTCTAGATTCCAAATCGAGTTCAAAATAAACCGTTGTTTATGCTGAGGTATAACCTCAATGAGATGAGTAATACGTACCCAAAAAGACCTCAACACTCGTCTCAACCCAGTAATTTCATCACTTTTAGATAAACAATAAACGAAAGACGTTTTTCGAATGAATAATTCGCATATTGAGGAGTGTGATGAGCAACAGATGGGAGGGATGGAAGCCCTTAAATCTAATCAGTGTTATTATGATTATCGAAGAATATCGGCAATATCATCGTCTGTTGTACCGGAGAATTATAGAAACCTGCTGTACCAATACCTCCGATAATGCACAAAAATGGATAAACTGGAGAGAACCTAATCACACGAAACAGAGTGAAAAACAAATAATCTCTTCGATTATCTCTGGAAGTTCTGTGGAATTGAGAGTCCAAGGTTAATTGGGTTAATTTATAATATGTGGAAAACGGAATTTTATGATGCTGAGGAAGAGGAATCGGTGAGGATGTATTCAAAACTTCGGGAGGCAGCCCACGACACTGAAGGCGTTGAGACAGTGACATCCAGAGAACAGGTATTTAACTCGAAAAAATGCATTCCTCCTTGATTACTTTGTCAATTAGCTTTTGGCATTATTCATCTATTTTTTTTTTTTTTTTCCTCCAGGAGAAGGTCGAAGGAGATGTCCTCAAACTGTATAATCTCAACAGAGAGCCATTGTTGACGAAAAGTCGACACATCGGATTTTTAAAGAAATCTTTGATTAATATTTCAGCAGCTTATGAAGTAAGTATCAGGATTTAGTGCAGAAGAAGAAATTCGGTTTTCTGTCCAGGGAAAATGAGGATATCTTGGCAACTAGTGGGTCTATCGAAAAATATGATTCAATCTTTTTTGTAGCTGGGAAAATTCTCTATAAAAAAGTTGATTTGACATTTTTTGATAAATCCATTAGGTTTGGTAATACTACTAGTTTTGGTGGTGTAACGAAAAAATTATTTGATGTTATTTTTGAGAAAAATGGAGATATCTCAGAAACTAGTCGATCAATAGAAAAATATTAGAGAATCTTTTTAGCAGCTGAAAAAATTTCCTACAAAAAACCTAATCTGACATTTTACAACAAAGCCAGTAGTTCTGGAGATATTTTGGATTTTACTGGGAACAACTAGTGAATGTTTTGTTAATTTATTGCTTTCGTTCAAGTGTTTAGACTGCAGCAGACCCTGGTTATGCTACTGGGGCCTGCACGCCCTTCAAATCCTCGGAGAGCGATTGGAGGTCGATGAGTACCAGAAAATCGTTCAGTTTTTATCGAAATGCCAGGACCCAGAGGGAGGATTCGGGGGTGGTCCAGGTCAATATCCCCACCTGGCGTCCACTTATGCTGCTGTCTCAGCACTCTGTATCATTGAGACTAGGGAAGCGTATGAGGCGATCGATCGGTTAGTCCGGCTAGTCTGATCACTCGCAAATCCCCTTTTTTCCCTTTACCTATTTCACCCATTTTTCCCCTTTCTACCCATTTCAATATCATAGGGGAGAGTGGGAAAAAATTAAACTGTCGAAAAAACCACTCTTTGCCGCAATTCAAACCAAAAAAAAATTTGTTATTGTTTTTCTTAATTTAAGCTTCGAAACCCTGTTTTAGGTTTACTAAGTATAAAAAAAAGCATGAATAAATAAACAAACAAATTAATTAAACCTAATCTACTTTCGTTTGGTTCTATTTTCTGACAGAGAATCGCTGTATAAATTCCTGAAATCTGTGAAATACGAGGACGGTAGCTTCAGCATGCACAGGGACGGAGAGGTAGACATAAGAGGAGTCTACTGTGCAATTGCTGTTGCTAAATTAACGAATGTTTACACGCCATCGCTCTTCAAAAATACCGAGCAGTGGATAGCCCGATGTCAGACCTGGGAGGGTGGTTTCGGAGGGTGTCCAGGGATGGAGGCTCACGGGGGATATACCTATTGTGGATTGGCTTCGCTTGTACTTCTTGGGAAGACTCACATGTGTCATTTACCTTCGTTATTGGTATTTATCATTTGATCATCAATTTCGGTAAATATCTCGAAATTTATGAGAGATAGCGAAATGTCCGTGAAAACCTTTTTTGTAGAGGAAAAGGAGATCTACAAAAAAGGTCCTTACAAGAATTTCGCCATCTCCCTTAGATCCAGAGATATTGCCCAAAGACTGTAGTTGAGTCCAAAAATTTAATTTTTCAACTTCAAGATTTGTTTTTGCTTGATATCACAAAACCTATGGGAGATAGCAAAATATACGTGAGAACCTCTTTTGTAGATCTCTTTTTCCTCTACCAGAATTCTTTACAAGAATTTCGCCATCTCCCTTAGATCCAGAGGTATTGCCCAAAGACTAGTTTGAGTCCAAAATTTCAACTTTTCAACTTCAAGATTTGTTTTTGCTCGATATCTCAAGACCTATGGGAGATAGTCAAATAGACGTGCGGACCTTTTTGTGGAGGAAAAGGAGATCTACAAAAAAGGTCCTTACAAGAATTTCGCCATCTCCCTTAGATCCAGAGATATTGCCCAAAGACTGTAGTTGAGTCCAAAAATTTAATTTTTCAACTTCAAGATTTGTTTTTGCTTGATATCACAAAACCTATGGGAGATAGCAAAATATACGTGAGAACCTCTTTTGTAGATCTCTTTTTCCTCTACCAGAATTCTTTACAAGAATTTCGCCATCTCCCTTAGATCCAGAGGTATTGCCCAAAGACTAGTTTGAGTCCAAAATTTCAACTTTTCAACTTCAAGATTTGTTTTTGCTCGATATCTCAAGACCTATGGGAGATAGCCAAATAGACGTGCGGACCTTTTTGTGGAGGAAAAGGAGATCTACAAAAAAGGTCCTTACAAGAATTTCGCCATCTCCCTTAGATCCAGAGATATTGCCCAAAGACTGTAGTTGAGTCCAAAAATTTAATTTTTCAACTTCAAGATTTGTTTTTACTCGATATCTCAAAACCTATGGGAAATAGCCAAATATACATAAGAACCTTTTTTGTAGAGGAAAAGGAGATCTACAAAAAAGGTCCTTACAAGAATTTCGCCATCTCCCTTAGATCCAGAGATATTGCCCAAAGACTGTAGTTGAGTCCAAAAATTTAATTTTTCAACTTCAAGATTTGTTTTTACTCGATATCTCAAAACCTATGGGAAATAGCCAAATATACATAAGAACCTTTTTTGTAGAGGAAAAGGAGATCTACAAAAAAGGTCCTTACAAGAATTTCGCCATCTCCCTTAGATCCAGAGATATTGCCCAAAGACTGTAGTTGAGTCCAAAAATTTAATTTTTCAACTTCAAGATTTGTTTTTACTCGATATCTCAAAACCTATGGGAAATAGCCAAATATACATAAGAACCTTTTTTGTAGAGGAAAAGGAGATCTACAAAAAAGGTCCTTACAAGAATTTCGCCATCTCCCTTAGATCCAGAGATATTGCCCAAAGACTGTAGTTGAGTCCAAAAATTTAATTTTTCAACTTCAAGATTTGTTTTTACTCGATATCTCAAAACCTATGGGAAATAGCCAAATATACATAAGAACCTTTTTTGTAGAGGAAAAGGAGATCTACAAAAAAGGTCCTTACAAGAATTTCGCCATCTCCCTTAGATCCAGAGATATTGCCCAAAGACTGTACTTGAGTCCAAAAATTTAATTTTTCAACTTCAAGATTTGTTTTTGTTCGATATCTCAAAACCTGTGGGAGATAGCAAGATATACGTGAGGACCTCTTTTGTAAATCTCCTTTTCCTCTACAAGAATTCCTTACAAGAATTTCGCCATCTCCCTTAGATCCAGAGATATTGCCCAAAGACTGTAGTTGAGTCCAAAAATTTAATTTTTCAACTTCAAGATTTGTTTTTACTCGATATCTCAAAACCTATGGGAAATAGCCAAATATACATAAGAACCTTTTTTGTAGAGGAAAAGGAGATCTACAAAAAAGGTCCTTACAAGAATTTCGCCATCTCCCTTAGATCCAGAGATATTGCCCAAAGACTGTAGTTGAGTCCAAAAATTTAATTTTTCAACTTCAAGATTTGTTTTTGCTTGATATCACAAAACCTATGGGAGATAGCAAAATATACGTGAGAACCTCTTTTGTAGATCTCTTTTTCCTCTACCAGAATTCTTTACAAGAATTTCGCCATCTCCCTTAGATCCAGAGGTATTGCCCAAAGACTAGTTTGAGTCCAAAATTTTAACTTTTCAACTTCAAGATTTGTTTTTACTGGATAGCTCAAAACCTATGGGAGATAGGCAAATAGACGTGAGGACCTTTTTTGCAGAGGAAAAGGAGATCTACAAAAAAGTTTCTTACGTATATTTTGCTATCTCCCATAGGTTTTGAGATATCGAGCAAAAACAAATCTTGAAGTTGAAAAATTAAATTTTTGGACTCAACTGCAGTCTTTGGGCAATATCTCTGGATCTAAGGGAGATGGCGAAATTCTTGTAAGGACCTTTTTTGTAGAGGAAAAAGAGATCTACAAAAAAGGTTCTAGCGTATATTTGGCTATCTCCAATAGGTTTTGAGATATCGAGTAACNTGTTGCCCAAAGACTGTAGTTGAGTCCAAAAATTTAATTTTTCAACTTCAAGATTTGTTTTTGCTTGATATCACAAAACCTATGGGAGATAGCAAAATATACGTGAGAACCTCTTTTGTAGATCTCTTTTTCCTCTACCAGAATTCTTTACAAGAATTTCGCCATCTCCCTTAGATCCAGAGGTATTGCCCAAAGACTAGTTTGAGTCCAAAATTTCAACTTTTCAACTTCAAGATTTGTTTTTGCTCGATATCTCAAGACCTATGGGAGATAGTCAAATAGACGTGCGGACCTTTTTGTGGAGGAAAAGGAGATCTACAAAAAAGGTCCTTACAAGAATTTCGCCATCTCCCTTAGATCCAGAGATATTGCCCAAAGACTGTAGTTGAGTCCAAAAATTTAATTTTTCAACTTCAAGATTTGTTTTTACTCGATATCTCAAAACCTATGGGAAATAGCCAAATATACATAAGAACCTTTTTTGTAGAGGAAAAGGAGATCTACAAAAAAGGTCCTTACAAGAATTTCGCCATCTCCCTTAGATCCAGAGATATTGCCCAAAGACTGTAGTTGAGTCCAAAAATTTAATTTTTCAACTTCAAGATTTGTTTTTGCTCGATATCTCAAAACCTATGGGAGATAGCCAAATATACGTGAGAACCTCTTTTGTAGATCTCTTTTTCCTCTACCAGAATTCTTTACAAGAATTTCGCCATCTCCCTTAGATCCAGAGGTATTGCCCAAAGACTAGTTTGAGTCCAAAATTTTAACTTTTCAACTTCAAGATTTGTTTTTGCTGGATAGCTCAAAACCTATGGGAGATAGGCAAATAGACGTGAGGACCTTTTTTGCAGAGGAAAAGGAGATCTACAAAAAAGTTTCTTACGTATATTTTGCTATCTCCCATAGGTTTTGAGATATCGAGCAAAAACAAATCTTGAAGTTGAAAAATTAAATTTTTGGACTCAACTGCAGTCTTTGGGCAATATCTCTGGATCTAAGGGAGATGGCGAAATTCTTGTAAGGACCTTTTTTGTAGATCTCCTTTTCCTCCACAAAAAGGTCCGCACGTCTATTTGACTATCTCCCATAGGTCTTGAGATATCGAGCAAAAACAAATCTTGAAGTTGAAAAGTTGAAATTTTGGACTCAAACTAGTCTTTGGGCAATACCTCTGGATCTAAGGGAGATGGCGAAATTCTTGTAAAGAATTCTGGTAGAGGAAAAAGAGATCTACAAAAGAGGTTCTCACGTATATTTTGCTATCTCCCATAGGTTTTGTGATATCAAGCAAAAACAAATCTTGAAGTTGAAAAATTAAATTTTTGGACTCAACTACAGTCTTTGGGCAATATCTCTGGATCTAAGGGAGATGGCGAAATTCTTGTAAGGACCTTTTTTGTAGATCTCCTTTTCCTCTACAAAAAAGGTTCTTATGTATATTTGGCTATTTCCCATAGGTTTTGAGATATCGAGTAAAAACAAATCTTGAAGTTGAAAAATTAAATTTTTGGACTCAACTACAGTCTTTGGGCAATATCTCTGGATCTAAGGGAGATGGCGAAATTCTTGTAAGGACCTTTTTTGTAGATCTCCTTTTCCTCTACAAAAAAGGTTCTTATGTATATTTGGCTATTTCCCATAGGTTTTGAGATATCGAGTAAAAACAAATCTTGAAGTTGAAAAATTAAATTTTTGGACTCAACTACAGTCTTTGGGCAATATCTCTGGATCTAAGGGAGATGGCGAAATTCTTGTAAGGACCTTTTTTGTAGATCTCCTTTTCCTCTACAAAAAAGGTTCTTATGTATATTTGGCTATTTCCCATAGGTTTTGAGATATCGAGTAAAAACAAATCTTGAAGTTGAAAAATTAAATTTTTGGACTCAACTACAGTCTTTGGGCAATATCTCTGGATCTAAGGGAGATGGCGAAATTCTTGTAAGGACCTTTTTTGTAGATCTCCTTTTCCTCTACAAAAAAGGTTCTTATGTATATTTGGCTATTTCCCATAGGTTTTGAGATATCGAGTAAAAACAAATCTTGAAGTTGAAAAATTAAATTTTTGGACTCAACTACAGTCTTTGGGCAATATCTCTGGATCTAAGGGAGATGGCGAAATTCTTGTAAGGACCTTTTTTGTAGATCTCCTTTTCCTCTACAAAAAAGGTTCTTATGTATATTTGGCTATTTCCCATAGGTTTTGAGATATCGAGTAAAAACAAATCTTGAAGTTGAAAAATTAAATTTTTGGACTCAACTACAGTCTTTGGGCAATATCTCTGGATCTAAGGGAGATGGCGAAATTCTTGTAAGGACCTTTTTTGTAGATCTCCTTTTCCTCTACAAAAAAGGTTCTTATGTATATTTGGCTATTTCCCATAGGTTTTGAGATATCGAGTAAAAACAAATCTTGAAGTTGAAAAATTAAATTTTTGGACTCAACT